AGCAAGTTGTTTCCAGTTGCCATCCCAGACCTACGCTTCTCTCGAGACGAGCGCCAGGTCTTCGCCGAGTCGCCGGAGGTGTGGATAGCTTTGCTCGCTGCACGCAGACTTTGTTGTTTTTTCTTCCTCTTCTTCTTTTTTCCACGGGGAATATCCCTGTTGGGCTTGGCGCTTCCGGGAAACCGACAGAAAAGCCAGCATTTTGGTGAAGGAGCCCCAACAAAGACGACACCCCCAATGGTGCCCTGCTCTTTTTTGGGCCCCAACCTCCACAGGCTGGAGCCCTGGCCCAAGAGTGCAACGGAGATTCATTATGCGACCAGGGAACAACGAGTACTTACCAAGGTTCGATTTCATTTACCCTCCCACCAATCTAATCTAGAGAAAATGGTCCAAGCAAGGACCCCCACGTTCCATGTTAGTTGGCGGGAGGGTAGGGGATGATGAATATAGAGTGTCCACAGTTATGTGGGTTGCTGTGGTTACTTTCTTGTTTACTTATACATCCGTTTGGCTTTTGGCTCTTGGCCAAATCGTTTTTGGCCCGAAGCATGGCAAATGGGCTCAGAGAGAACAAGAGCTTAGTGTAGCTTCAGTCAGCTGCTAAGTAGGATGTCAGAAAACGGTTTTGCCCACTTGCAAGGAGTTATATCAGGTTACTCGTAGCAGCAACTGTGCGAAGAGGCCGACCCCCCCCCCCCCAAATCCAACCACACCCTCCTCCATTCTCCTTCACGAATCCTTATGCAACCACCAGCAATGGGTGGTTCGGGGTACCGTGTGGATCCCTTTTGGTCTTATTCTCCCACTGGTTGCAACGGTGGATGTTTCAGGGAACCCGACGCCTGCCTCCAATCACGCCTACCCCGAAACATTAAGGCCCAGCTCCTCAACCCGGATCGCCACCCCACGTCAGGGCAAGTGGTTAGGGATATCCCCAGTTTACAAGTCTCCGCGGCATTTATATATATATATATATGCACATAACACTGTGGACTTGTTAACTTGGGGATATTGACCACCTGCCCAACCTGGCACCGGTCCAAGTAGGGTTTTTGGATGTTTTGCTGCCGTATCGCGTGCCAGGTGTGCCGCGGCCGGGGCCCGAGTTTCGACGTCGCACGCGTCTGCCATGCGTCTACCATGGAAGATACCTGGAGTCTCCGGATCTGACCCTTTCAAGATGCTTGGGTGTTCAACCAACTTAGTAAGTAGGGTATAAACATGGGGTAACTGGGGCAACTGGGGTTGGTTCCTTTATAGCCTTGTTTATAACCTACTTACTAGGTTGGTTGAACACCCAAGTGGGTCCATGACGCTTTTCTTGGAGGTTCTGCCGGCGCTCTGGACCCGAACACATGCTGCAAGCTTCTTCGCCATGGAAATGCGATGCATGGCTGTCCTTTTTTTATGTTCTTCTTTTCTGGGCATGAGGATATTGATTGGGCCCCGGCACTGTCGCGACTGAGGCTGCTGTTTTTGGATGTACCTGGACCCTCAAACTATCCATCATCAATTCCCACCATTTAGGGGGTTGGGTTGCATCCACTTTGGGGTGAACCGGTGCCCGTCCATTGGTTTTCGATCCGTCTTCGGATCCCTGAAACCTCTGACCCTTTAAAGATGGTTGGTCATGACCTCTTTATTTGGGTGACCCCCTGACTCATGGAGACTCCAGGATGGTCCATGTCCAGCCGACAGAAATGCCAATGGAACTTCAGACCTGGTGAGTGTCTTTTAGGGAAGCGCGGGGAGGTGTCCCGGTTTGGTCGGGAGTGTGGAACAAATGTTGACCAACACCCAAGTACCCGGGCCCTCGAAGTTCCAACTTCAAAAGGGGTCGCACCCAAAAAAAATGGAATGGGTGAGTTCCATTTCTTTTAAGGTGAGGGTCCAGGTATTTCTCCGGATGAATCCGGGGTTCCCATTCCTGAGATGCACCTTTGAAGGTTCGCAAGCCTCGAAGACCTGACAGGCGTGGACATCGAGGCCTTGACCCCAATGAAGGCTGGGAGCGAGTGAAAGATCTGGTCCGGTCAAAATGGGTCTGTCTTCCAAGGAACCCCCCAAAATGGATTTCGGCTTTCCGGTTTCATCCAAAAGGGGGTATCCTCGACAAAAGACACAGCCAAATGATTTGTAGTCCTATGGTCCGTTTGGGGGGAGACATTTGGGGACTCACTCATGTAAACCTAATCAGGGACTCTCCAATTTGTAGTTTGCGGTCGCATTTCTCGGGTTTGTCCTTCGCTGAGGGTAGCCGTTTTCTGGTGGTAAAGGAAAACCAAAGCAATACTGGGAATGTAACCTTAAACTAAAATTTGGTACAGGAAAATCAAACAGGAGACTCTAGGCGGACATAGCTTCTCATTGTTTCCAGGGCCGCAAAAGCAAAAGGTAACCAAGGCTCCTTAAAAACAAAAGAGGCACAAACTCACCAAGGGCTCCTCAACAAAGACACGCCCAAAGCTCCCCCGGGGGGAGCTTTTGGACCTGAGAGGCGGAGCCCTGGAGCGCTTTGTCCAGCCCCGGGCCCCGGCTGCTGGCGCTGGTCCGGGCCTTGGGCGAAGCCGTCGAAGCCGTCGAAGCGCGTCGAAGCCGTCGTGACCTGACTCGCCTGAGTTCCCGCAGCTGCGTTCTGTGTGGAAGTCACTCACTTCCTTTGGGCTTCCTTTCCGGGACTCGGACTTGAGTCATAAACTTTGCGGGGGCCTGGACCATTTTAGTTGATAAGAAGTTTAGTTGCTTTTTTTTTCGGGGGCCTGGGACATTTTAGTAGTTAAAACAAGAAGTGTGGGTTGCTTTTTTGGCCAGCCCACGGGGGAAGTGAGGTCCTGAAAAATCCCGGGGACTGATGAAGGTCAAGGGAGAATCCCAACCATAAATGGGGCCGGATATCCACATGTTTAGTTCTGTACATGGGTCCAGGTAGACTACAGGAATGCCGGGCTTTGATTTTGACTCAGCTGGATGTTTTCTGACGGGGAACTCAGAAGATGTTTGGAGACATGGTGTGTTGACATCGGATTAGTACTCCCCCTTTCCGGAGAAGGTCCAGAAGGATTGTCCTGCCAAAAACCAGTCCATGTTTAATCCTAGGATGACAGCTAACACGTTTAAACAGGTTGCCTTGATCTGGCCTGAAGCTTACCCCTTAAAACTCCAAGCCCTGGGGAAGTGTTTTTGTTTCAGGCATATAGCCCATGTTACCCCAAAAGTTGAGAAAAGTGTTATGCTTTTAAGAGGGAAGGAAGGGACCAACCAGTTTTTTGGGGGGCTCCTTGGAAGACTTCTTACGGCTCTAAACCCCAAAGCCCTGTTGAAGGAACCCGAAAATCCTATCATAGGACATGATGCTGGGAGTATTAGAATCCCCCACGGTTCAACGATGCCTCTCTTATCTTACCTCTTAAAAACACAAAGCTGTTCTCGACTTGTTGGGGTTAACATGGGCTATATGTTTGAAAAAGATGAGAACTTCCCCAGGTTGCTTGGAGTTTTAAGGGGTAAGTCTTTTATGGAGGCGGGGCTCCCCTTCTATCTGACGTACGGCTATGATTGTTGTTGGTTCAGGGAGCCCCCCGAATGCCAATCTAAATTTCATGTCCACCCTTGGGGATACCCAAACCACATCAAGTTGGCTGACATAAAAGCATGGAGTAATGTCCTACAAATGTTGAACACCTGGGGGGGGGGGGTGGTATTATCCACATCAAGCAATCTTGCTGGTGCTCAGCAGGGAATGAGGGAATGAACCTAGGGATTTCCTCTGCGGAAACCACAAGGGATGCTTTATCAGGTTATATAAGGGTCATTCCCTCATTTCCTGCCTATCGCACCAACAAGCAACGAAGAACATGTTTGCATTTCCCCACCGTTTCTGGAATCTACTGGAGGCTTCGGATGAACCTCGTACAGACTTTGGGATTGGGTAGGGTTCTGACTGGGCTGAAAAACTTCCCAAGGGTTTGGATTTGATGCTTTGGCAAGATCAGTTGTAGCCAAAGCCGGTGCCATGGTCCTTTCAAGATCGGTTCCTTTACTTGGGGTCGATCCTGGCCAAGTATGACGTGTCCTAAGGGAACCATGGTTTTGACCATCTCTATGCAGACTTCATGCAGCAGACTTCATCCCAGTCCATCCCTCTTGATGTTTTGTGGCGAGGTTTGAGGAAAATGGGAATCTCGGGCGGCTTTGGGTTACACCTAGCGGAATCATTGCAGAAAGCGTGTTTATTTCATAGCCATGTACAATGGGTGCGGACCTTGGACGTGGTGCCCTTTTGTCCTTTCATTCTTGGATACTCTGGGGTTCAAGCCACCATTAAAACAATGGTTGGGCTCATATTTCACAATTTACCGTTCAGGATTGTCATCATCCAAGTTGAAACCTGTGCTTTTTCTGGGGGTAAGTTGAACCCTAGGGTAAATATAAGCCCAACGGCCTCAAATTAGGTCTTGGGCTCCAAGGACGGGGTTTTGGGTTTTTTGGGACCCCCTGGGTCTGGCCCCTGGCCCCTGGGAGCGCCACCGAAGCGAGTCCGCTCAAGGACTCCCCTCGCCCGGACTTCTCGAAGATCGCCCTGACGCCGCAGAACTGGAGTCAGAAGGCGCGTTGAAGTCATCAAAAACCCCCCAGGGGTGGTCCTTGGGCGTGTGTTTTTGGAGGGTGCCTGGACCCGAAAGAAGTAAACATGGAATTCGCTGATTCATGTAGGGGCAATACACATAGATACGGATTTGTTTGAGTGGTTTTTTGGAGGGCCATAGAAGAAGGGAAATCACATGATCGGTTTGGGGTTTTGAGGGAAGTTTGAGACCTGGACCCAACAGAACTGCCCACTAGCGATACACGATTTTTGAGCTGATATTTTGTGAGTGTCCAGCCTTTCGGGTTGATTGAAAGGGAAACCGAAAAGGAGAACCCACATGTGTTTTCCTGATTTTGACACGTCACTTCTGACCCGAAATGAAAAGAAAGGGCTCAGAATTGGTGACTCGGACTTTTGATAGAGCAGCTGGCATTCTTCTGGCCCCAGAATGGTGGTTTCAAACTCACCAGTGGGCGTCCCTAAGAACTCACACCTCCAAGTGAAGCACCAAGGGCGCCCTCCCCCAGAAAAAGCGACGATGGGAACTCACCGGCCATGCCCAAAGACTGGGAAGCCCAAAGTTGGTCCCCCAGCAATTGGTGCCCGACCTCTCACCGTTTCCTTTTTCGGGGGAGGGCTCCCCTACTAAAATAGACCCACAGAAAAAAAGTTGGTACTCTTCTTCCAACCTCTCTACTGGAGGAGCTAGCCAAAGTGTCTGTTCCGGCATTCTCTTCACACATCATCAATCAAAACATGGAGACACCAACCATTTTCCGAGGACTCCTGGAATTTTTGGGACCCAAGTTGCTCCGATTTCCGCCAGGCACCTGGCCGAACCTCTCGCCAGACGCGGCTCCGGCCCGGCCGCAAAAGCTCGGAGGGCAGCCGAGGCGGGGAGTGAGCGGTGAGCGCCTTGGGTCGGGCTGTGGGTGGTTTCAGTCCATTTCAGTCACCAGCGGCTAACATGGAAGTGCACAGATCCCTGCGAAAACACTACTTTCCTGTTGGACAGGAGTCCGTTTGAGTCACGTGCTCAAAACCCAGGCAATCGGAGGGGCAATCCCCTAGCCCCATTTATGGGTGTGGATCTCCGCCTGGAAGCGTTCTGAGTAGCCCGGGTTTGGATTATGACTCAAAATGTGCCTGTCTGGCTTATTTGATCTGCCTAGTTTTTGCAACTCTCGGGGGTAAAATGGGTAGTGAATCCTGTCGAAAGTACTGTAGCGCCAGGCCAAACAACCGAACGTGTGTCACAGCAACGCTTTCAAGCAGTCTCTATATATTTGGCAGGGTTGCTCCGAGTTGGTCCAGAAGGATCTCAGTACGTACCCATTAGGTTGGTGCCTTGAGTTCATTGTTTGCACATATAGGAGCTAAATCTTGACACGCTTGCGGTAAGCTGAGAAGACGAGCCACACATTGTTGCCCTACGGTGGTTAATCCTGGAACCATGTAGTTCCCCCTCTAAATACCAACGAAGGTTCTAGTGTCAACCATGTCATTTCGTGGTGCGAGCAGATTTCGCAACCATCCACAGCTACAACGATGCCATGTGAGTTGGTCCCTTTCGAGCTGAAGGGCCACTGCAATTCTCCAATTCTCCGGCTCAGGTGACGTGTCCCTGTGCGTGCGGCTGAAGCCAGGGTGCGAGGAGGAGCCAGATCGGTGATCTCCGGTGACGTGGCACCCTTCCCCTTTTTGTGTTTGCCAACTGCCTGTGGGCTCTTCACTTTTTTAGGGGGTTTGCGGAGCTTAGGTGTTTAGGCTCTTAGGGTGTAATGTTGACCCAGGATTAATAAACCCGTCCCACTATTAGGGGGGTGTTCCCTCCAAAAGTGATGAATCCCCACTAAAAGGGGACACCCCCCTATTAATCAAGGGGTTTATTCATCCGGGTTTCTCATTAATGAGGGTTCCGTCCGTTTACCCGAACAGTTATGTCGAGCTCTGATGTGTGTGCACGCCCGACTTCTTTTTCATAGGACCTGGGTCCCTGTCTGGGTGTTGTTCATCAGGGGTCAACATGACCTGCCGCTGGGACCTAGGTTTGTCAACGGAATCCACAGAGAAGGGTCTGCCTCAAACTATAAGACACAAGATAGAATTCAGCACTTCCAGAATGTTGGGTTGAATAACCAATTTGTAAGTTGGAATTTCTTTCGGGTCAGGTACTACTAGACGCCCATCAAACGGCTGGACCGGTGCCAAACTTGGATTTGGGGCGCACCTTCGCCGCCTCGCTGGGTTTTAATCCGCGAGGTGAGGTGATGCTTCAAGGGCTTTGGTTCTGGAACCCCGAGCAGAAAAGCCAGCGAAGCCTGCCGGCCTGGACCCGAAAGAGATCCCATTGGTTTAATGGTGGCACCTGAACCCCAGGGCACTGTCATAGTGCGCCTCTTTCCACCTCTGCTTTGGTTGCCGGGCCTCGGGTCGCAGTTTGTCTCTGTTTTTTGCGTCATATCGGGTGGGCTATGCACTAGATCTGGACATATGGGTGTCTTTTTTCATGGGACCCGCTCAAATGGTGGTTTGCCAGTTGGTCCCTTTGAAACTACCAAAACAGGTACCCTCTCAAAGCGACAAGCCCATACTGTGGATGGACGAATCCATTTGGCACCACCTAAGAATCCCTGGAATGTGTCGATTCCCCTGTAAATACCCACAAACACTGGTTCAACCATAGTTTTTGTTTAAATGATTTTCGCAACCATCCACTGTAGTGCGGTGGTTGTTTTTTTGCCCCCTCTCCTTTCAGTCCTTCCTCATCTTGCTAGTGTTCAGTAGGGAATGAAGGACTCAAGCTGTGGATCCCAAGGAAAACAGTTGGATGGTTTGTATGGGGCGTTCCATGTCTCAGTTGTTCAGTGGCTCCCTTTTTCCTTTTTTTTGGTGGCTGCCCCACTAAAATGGTCTTCCCAAAAAAGGGTTCCTTTTTTTCCGGTGTCACTGAACAACTGAGATGTCTTATTCCCTGCCTATCGTACTCTCATTTCCAATTGTCGGAACGAAGGTATTCAAAGTTTCACGAACCCCTGAGTTGGTTTGGACTCCCGCTTCTTGTAGAGGGTAAATGGGAACCCCACCCAACCGCCAAACCACCAAACCACCAAACCACTGGGCTCCAAACCACAAATCGGGTGAAGCTGACACCAGAAGAATTACCCTCCAAATAACAACACGCACAGACTGTGTCGAGTTCTGGCCCACTCAAGAAATACCCCCTGGCGGAGGTTTATTCCAAGAAACCGAAACCCACCCATCGGGAAGCTGAAAGTTTCGGCGAGGAGATCGCCTATGTGGAGGGCGACAAAGTGCGGCTGAAGCCATCAGCCCGAGGCCCCAGAGAGAACTTCCATCGCCTCATTCTTTCGGCGCCCGGGTGCCCAAAATCGGAAAGCCAAGGCGGGGGTGTCTTTTAAGAAGACATCCGGTTCCAGAAAGGTGTTTGGTGGTTTTTTAGTTGGCTCAGTGGTTGGGTGTCCGAAGTTGGCCAACAAGTTAAGCTTTTAACAGAGGATTGAGGACAGCCCAGGCTGGTTTTGGGGGTACCCCTGCTTGGAGTTGGTTAAAAGGGACTCGCAAGGAAAACCACATTTCTGTGCGCCCCCCGCAAAGAGGCAAACCTTCCATACGCCCAGAGTTCCCACTCCGTTTGCTCTGTGTTCTGAGAATCGCATTAGACGTGTTTCTGAAGCTACTGACTAGCCCAAGACAAGCCGAACTGCCAAACTGTGACTTGATCGTCGCTGGCTCTTGCTGTTGTCAGTTACACCTCAGACTTCACACATTTTTTTTTGGGGAAGACAGGTTCGTGGTAAACACAGTCTGCTTGATTGGCTGCCTCTGCTTCAAGTAAGAGGACCACCGATGCTAACCTGCAAACGGCTGGGTGTGTTTGCCTAGTGGCTGGTGGCCCCAAATCTAAATGACCTTTCTCAACCCAGCAGATACATCAAAAGTACACTTTTCGGGGGGGTGTTTGCCCCTTGATTGTTGGATCGAAAAAGAAGGGGTGCCAGGGCTTTTGCACAAGCAACAGAAGGGCTCCAACTGCGTGGGCAAGCACAATGCAGTTTATGACCTCCCTACCTCGATAAGCCATACCTGAACGTATCCTTGAAGTCATGCTTCGCGAATCTATCCTTGCCAAAGGCCTCTTTTTGTAGGGCCCAAAACAACCCTCGTCCCCCGCCCCCTGCTGGCCCCAAACACTTTGGTATAGCATTTACGGTTTCTTTGCAAGGAACCCAGATAGACTTCTTCTACCCCCTACACTTGCACACCCTCCTTACCTCTTTCTGTAGCAGCTTTGCAGCTTCCATCTCCTTACATAGAAGCGTATATGTGCCCTATGATCCTCTCCTAAATCCTTCATATACATTTATCAAATCCAGATTGGCTCCCTCCCTCAATTCGAAAGGAGTGGGCAGTCAAGCGTCTTGTCAGGAAAATTGCTTGGATGTCCGCCGTATAAGCATACTGCCTACTGTTGCCAGAAGTTTGTCTTTGAACCTGTCAAGAGTTGAATGGACTTGCAATTTTCTCTATAATGGAATAGTGGGGAGTATACGTACCCCCAATAAGAAGCTCTATATAGCAAAGGGGATGACACCAAATTGCCAGTTGGGGGACATCTGCTGAATATTGACATGGCTGCAAGTGGCTCCCTTTATGGCAGCACACATTTTGATGATGCACTCAACAACTGTTCCTGGACATATTTCCGAACCCAATTGATATCCACCAAAACCTTCTCAGTTAACATGCGCTCCCACGCAAGCAACGGACCATACAACCGGTAGTTTGTTGTGCATATGGAGAGGACATGGAAAAGCCTACCCAACATCCCTGAGTTGTTCTCACAAAAGTTAGGGAGCCTACCCAGTTGCACTAACCGCAAGTTTCCACTATGAACATGGTTCATACTGTTAATACTGTGGATGGTTGTGAACTCCATGTTGCAACCTTTCAGACACCCAAAGGAATGATTCGATTCCCCAACGTAATTTGTTGTAATAAGCCTGTTGTGGTTTGTCATTCCTTTCTTCATTTTGGTGCGAGAAGAGTATCGGACTCGCAACCATCCGCAGCTACTGGTATGTCAAAAAAAACGAAAGCAGCACGTGGTTCCTTTATACGCCAACCCCAAGCAGTACCCTCAAAAAGCACAGGATATAAATTTCATATGCCCGAAGTCTCTGAATCTGACCCGAATCAAAACTGGGTCCATGACCCATTCCTCTTTTTTGGGTAATGACCTGGCCCCATTTTTTAGGGTCAGACACCTGGAAACTCCACTAGGTCCCCCAGTAGTGCCCTTTTACCCTTTTTTGGAGGAGGGTTCCCCTACTAAAATAGACCCACAGAAAAAAAAGTATATTTATTCCAACCTCTCTACTGGAGGACATAGTCCAGGTGGCTCCCTCGGGAGTCCCCTGGAAATCGGAAGCTGCCACCCACAGTTTGCCAGGAAAAGGGCCTCCTGAGCTTTTTGGGGGACGATGCGGGGGCTTCCCGCGGCGCAGGCGAGCGGATTTCGGCGTCTTTTTTCCTACTACAAATAGACTACAGCAAAAAGGGTACCCCTTGGTTGCTTCCATTCGCTGAAATGAATATATCTAACTTCCAAAGGACATTCAAGGGGAACTTCAAGAGAACGGCCAGTTTGAACGGGGCGTTTCTAGGGGTCGCTCTTTTTGAAAAACCGGATCCATTTCCCCCAGGGTTGTTGCTGGTTTTCTAGAAAGAAGGATCCCTGGAAAGAATGGGGAAGTTACCCCTAGAATATTGTTTATTTTCCACCGGGTTTAAGAGGAATCGATTTTGCTACTGGAGCGTTGTTTCTTTTTTGTCTTCTTTTTTTCCAGGGGACTTTAGCAAGTGGTTACCGTAGAGCCCAAAAGAGCTACTAAGCAAACAAGTTGGAGGTTCTACAGATAGGTCTTTTAGAGTGGCTCGGAGCGCGTGCTAGAGGTTCCAGAAGGGTTCCGGAAGGGTGCAAAGAAGTTTGCTGTTCGGGATACCACCTGGCCTAGCCTCCCAAGACCCTGTTACTAGAGTCTTTTGAAGTCAAAGGCAAAGGGCCTCAACGTTCCAGGTCTTGGGATCCCAGGACAGGCTGATTTGTTGTGTTTGCAAGAACCTGGGGTAGACTTAGGGTACATTTTACATACCTGTGACTCACTTTCTGAAGCAAGCAATAAAATCTACATTCCATAACTGGTCCCCACTCTAATCATGGAACAAGCTGGACAAAAACAGGTCTGGGTCTCAAAGGTGTCAAGCTGATGTTGCTGCACGAGCCATGCCTGGTTCACTGATTCACACCTTGCCTGCTGAGGCTGCCAGGCCATACGTCTACCTGGAGTCTCCGTCTGACCTTTTAGAAATGGGTCCATGACCCATTTTTTTGTTTTGGGGAGTGACCAGCCATTTTTTAAGGGTCAGAGGGAGACTCCAGGTGGGGAAATGGGCATGGGACACCCCGAGTGTCTGGTTTGATTACAAGAGGATATCAGGTTTCATACCACCAAAAACGGGCCCCGTTTTTTCAATGGAAACTCCTTTGTTCCGGACCTACGCAGTTCCTGCGGACATGCAAGGATAAACGTGATGCCTTCTTGTTGAGAGAGGACCCTTGCCAACTCCCTCTCAAACAAAACCCATTCCAACCGATAAAGAATCAATCAGTTGGCACTTGTTTTCACCTGTGAAAAGCCGGCTCACTAACCCCTTGGCCCTTGGGGGCCCCGTTGGCTGGTGGGGCCGATGTCAGGTTGACTGCCAGCCGTCAACTTGCTGGCTATTGGTTTCAATTCAAGAGGGTACCATTCGTTTCCCACGGGGTGTGTGTTCTTAAAAGGGGAAGCCATTCCTCGGATAATAAACGCGTTGAACAAATCGACCACCCGAAGATGGGAAATGCCTTTCACGTTTAGAACGGTTCCCTTGGACCGTTCTCAGGTGCGAAAGAAGTAAAGCGTTAGTTTCCCAGGTTCTTTGGGCAGGTGAGTTTCCGCCCAAAAAATAAGAGTTCACACCCTCGTGGAAAAATCACCATATGGCCAAGGGTCAAACCCCCGACACCCAACGGAATGTCTCCCTGCAAATGCCAGCCACCAATGGCTTCTATGGTTTCATTTCGTGGTGCGAAGAGGATTTCGCAACCATCCACAGGATGGGCACCCCAACTCCATGGCACCCAAACTCCTTTTTCGCCCGCAGGCAAGGCAGACTTTGCCGATTGGCATGTGCCGGGCTGCCGAGGGGGCGTCGATGTCAAACGGATGTGGTCGACTTTTCCGGTTGATAGCCAGGGTGAAACTGGCTTGATTTTGGGGACAGGCGCAACTGAGCAGAGACATAGTTGCCTGGGCCCTTAAACTACCAATGAAAGAGATTTGGAATCCAACAAGGCACATAATTTTGGGTCGCAATAGTTCCCATTGGTTCGTTGGAGCTGCTTTCGGGTTTAAGTTCTTGCCTGCCCCCCCAAAAAATCGGAATTTGTGAGTTCCAACTTAACCTGGAATCTCCATGACCCGAATCAATAATGCGGTCATGACTGTCTATCTTCGGTAATAACCCCTTGTTCTAGGGGTCAGGTCCAGGTATCCAAACTTTGGTGCATTTTGCTTGGCTGTTCGGACTTTAACTTTTTGCCAACGAATGGGTTTTCCACTAAACCACTAAAAGTTAAACTTTTAGCAGGGGAGCAGAAAGCAACCAAGCAAAAGTTACATCAACGGATCGCCTTCTTGGAGCCTCGAGAGATTATACAATGTCTCTCCTGGCGCCAGTCCACATTTCAATAGAGGCCTCAGCTCTAGCGGCGAAAAAAATCGGAGCTAGGCATAGACCCGAAAGACATGCCAGCTCAAAAATGGATGATATTGCAACCGAACAAAGTATGGAATTTGTGAATTTCCCTGCTTCTTTGTTAATGGGTAGTTGCTTCAGAATATATATATATATATGCTTCCCCTTGTTGGTTTCAAAGGATTCTATCACGACTCTGACACATGCGTTTTTTTTTTCCAGGGGCCGTATTCACAAACGGAAGTTATGGAGAGGATCTGTTTTGACTTTTTCCCAGTCTATTCCAGTTGCCATGGTGGCTAAGAGGCCATCAACGCTAGCGGTACGAATCGATTACCTCTCAACGAACCCAGTCCTCCAGTTGCGAGTAGTTTCACGAAGATTTTTCGTTGGGGGTAAGCCCCATAGAAAGCACCTGAGCCAACTCAAAATACCCTTAAACAATTCTTAGTGCCCCACAAGTTTTTTGGTGCATTCCCTTTTTCATCGGTAGAGTTTGAAGGCCAAGGCAACGACTTCCAACCAAAAGGTGGCAAGCCATTTTTTTTCATCGGAACCCTCTGGGGGTCTGGATGGCGTTTCATGGACCCCAGGTGGCACACACAAATCACCCGAGACCTGGGTTCTTTGAATATTTTTTTTTTATCCTTACCTTGGGTGAGGCCGCAAGGAAGCGGTCCCCATTGTAGTGGCTTCCCTTTGTGGATCCTGGCAAATCGGATTGGCCACACCTCCATGTTGAACCACGCAAGGCAGAGAAGGTTGCACAATGGCACAGTTGAACTGGTCACTTTGGCACCCCCGTTTTCAAAGAAGTTTGAGGCCGTAAACCCTAAACTGTTGCCGAGCCAAGGGGATTTGCTCCCAGTTTGCGCGCTAGATGTGAGCTCCTCGTTTTTCTCGCTTCTTTCTCGAGACCAGTTGCTTGCACTTTGCCCCGGCTCTGAACTATTTGATCCTGGCCCGTCGTAAGGGATCTCAAGCCCAAGCAGTCCGAAGCGAAGGGTACGAGACGGGTCTTCGGGACCGGGGCTTGGAAGAAAAATTGGACTTGAGACCCCAGGGTCGATGGAATGATGAGACCGTCACCCTGTTCTGGAGAGTACGTAATTCGTATGGAACCCAGAAACCATCATTTGTAGCCCACTTTTCCACTTGCCTGCATGGGTTTGACTGGTTGGCTTTTTCCTGAACCCTCAACATTCCCTTAACAGTGGGTGATCGCAACCCCTACATATGGATTTGGTGAATTCCCTTGTTTACGGGTACCTGGCACTCAAAAAATGGGGTCGTTACCCAACATAAAGGGGTCACGACCCCAGTTGTTTTTTTCCTCATGGCAACTCCAGGTAGCTTGATGGTCCAGGTTGCCATGTCACGCCATGGGATAGATCTAAGTCGCTCTCGTGCCTCCAGGTGCTGCGACCACACCTTTGGAACCACCAGTCACCAAGAGGAGGCCATGGGGATCGTTCGATTGTCAGAGGGGTGGGAAATCCGCGGCCCATACAACTGCTCAATTAAGAAGGACTTCACCAACCATCATTTTGGGCAATATCCCATGTTTTCGGAATTTTGAGAGTTCAGGTAGACTAAGTGAAGAAGTACTTGAACATGGAATTTGCTGTGTAACTGTGGACTAGCCCAGATCAATGCCCCCAATCGTTGTAGAATTCATCAGCCTTGGAAGGTAAACGTTCGCGTTCCAACCACCTTTCTTTTCTTGAACACCCCTGTCCTTATTTTGGTGTTTGTGTTTTGGGAGTGAAACTGGGATCAGCTGTCGCCTCAATCCTGGTTTTTGAGCTGGACTGGGAGTGGACCTGTTTTTTGAGATATGTGCACGGGAAGTCAATGGCACACTCAATCTACTCAAAAAGGTGGTTTTTACCCTCAAAAACCAGGTTCTCCCCCAAAAATGCCCTGGAAAAAACCGGGTTGTCCCAAAAATGCCCTGAAAAACAGCCGAGTATTTTTTTTGAGTAGGGGCTCCTTCCACCCCGTGGTTTTCCATTTCTCGGCGGCTCCCTCGAAGCGGATGCCTCAGATCTTCGAGACCGCGGTGGCGCCCATCGTGGACGCGGTGGCCAACGGCTACAACGGGGCGGTGATCGCCTATGGCCAGACCGGGGCCGGGAAGACCTATACCATGATCGGGCCCAAGGCGCGCGCGTTCGACGGGCTTTCGGAAAGTTGGGTTGGTAGTTTCCGTTTAACCCACGAAAAGTTAGGCACTTTTAAAAAGGGGCATTTGAGGGCAGCCCAGGTTTGAAAGTTGGGTTGGTGGGATGGGTCTCCACACCTGAAAATTCCAAGACTAAAAGGTTTTCTAGAAAAGGACCAGGCGGCAGCCGGAGAGGGAGCTTGGAGCTGGATCGCTTGAGCCCTAGGGGGAAGTGGCGCGCCTTCTAAGGGTTGTTGGAAAGTTGCACCTGGATCGATCCAGTTGCGATCGCTTGTTTCCATGAACTTTACCCCAAAAAACAGCAACAGTGAATGACAAAAAACAGCAACTTGGCTATGACGGGTTGTTTCTTGGTGGCTGCCAGCCATCCGGTTCCTTAGCTGTTTGGCCTTTTAGTGTTAAGTGGTAGTTTCCATTTAACGCACGAAAAGTTTGTCACTTTAAAAAAGGGAATTTGAGGGCAGCCCAGGTTTGAAAGTTGGGTTTTAGGTGGGATGGGTCTAGAAAAAGGTTTGGATGTGGCTTTAGTGCATCCGCAAATGTAGAATAAACACAGAGTTCTAAACGATTACTAAAAAGGGACCAACAGGGGGAAACATTGGCAAAATCCACAAACAGCGCATCCAAATCGTTTTCTAGAATGGGGCCCAAACAAGAAAACCCCCAAGGCGGGATTGATGGTTGTTCAGTTTTATGGTCCAGAATAGCAATTCCAGATCGGGTTTTGAAGCTCGCGACTCGCCTATTGTGAACTGTAACTTGCCCTTGTTTGAACAGAAGTGTTTTTTCTTTGGGGGTTTCTTGCCCAGATTCTTTCAACGGAAAGGGTCTCAGGTTTCAGGGGTCACTTTCTGTGCGCCTTTTCGGGAATTCGGGTGGTTTGTATAGTTCGTGGTTGAAGGTCCCCGGACCGGTTGTAGGTGATGATTTCACCACAACAAGGAAGGGCTTCTTGAACCAAAGACTTCGCTTCAAAAGGCCAACTGAGCGGTTTTTGCTGAGAGGTTTGGCTGGGCCCCTTACGGCCCAGCGTGGTTCCTTGGGGTTTTGTTTTCTTCCCCAAACTCAGATGCCATGAAGGGACACTAGAAATTTCACCAGTCCCTGGGGTAAGTGAGATTATGCTGTATGTGCCATGGTCGGGCCCGACGCGGGTCGGGGCTTGTGTTCCTTGAATGGGTTCCGACACCTGCCTGGATGGCTTCTTGGTTTGGGAGTGTTTTTTTGGTTTCTGGGGATCCCGAAAAATTGTGGGTTTCCTTTTGGGTTCCCTTTCAAGCCAGAAAAAAGGTGTTGCCATGTTGAGACGCTGGCTTGCTGGCTCCTGGGGTTTCTCTAAACGGGAATTGCTGGAGCGAAGGGTTTCTTCAAACGCTTAGTTTCCCCTTCAAATCAACGCCAAAATGGTTTACGTCCCCTTCAGCCCAACCCAAAATTTAAAATGGTTTAGTTTCCCCTTCAAATCAACCAAAAATGGTTTAGTTCCCCTTCAAATCAACTCAAACATGGTTTACTTCCCCTTGAAACCAGGCCAAAAAAAGGGCTTCCCCCAAACGAGACGAGCCGGAACCTCCGCTGGACGGAGCTCGCTTCACAGGGCCCCTGCCGCGGCGTGGCGCCCCGCGCCGTGGCCGGCATCTTTGCGGGCCTCCGCGCATCGCTTAGCTCAGCCCAGTGCGAGGGGGGGGGGGTGGAGGTCCCAAGGGAGGAATTTTCGACAGCGGTTGGCTTGGCGGTTTCCAGCCATTTGGGTGTGGCTCAAAGTTAAAGGGCCGGGATTACGCAGGTGTTTGTGTTTGGTTCCATTTACCTTTTGGTGCCATATTGGTACATGTGTTTGAGCCATTGCCATCTGACTCCTGAAAGGTTTTTATGTATTTACTCGGTTTAATCGGTGGGGGGTGCATTGAAGCCACTAATTAGTTAAGCTGTTAGCAGGGGATCAGCTTAAGCAACCCAGGCTTGGATGTAGCTTTTTGTGCATCTATTGCTGTAGGATGTTGAAAGAGAACTGCAAGATTCTGGAAAAGGACCAACAGGTTGACAACAAGCGCATCCAATTTGTTTTGTAGATGGTAATGTTGAACATCCAAGTTCAGGACCTGGGCTGAGCTTTGGGTGGCTTCCTTACTTACTACCACCCACTATGAACTAATGTTGACCCCATAGTTATATGATTTTTGATCGGGGTTCCGGTGTTCCCGTTGAATGTGGGGATTCAGACCACTTTTGGAGGGACCGCCCCCTATAAAAACCGCCCCTATGAATCGGGCTGGTTTGTAAATCCGGGGGTCAACATGAACCCAGACCAAGGGGTGCAATTTGCTTACTTTTTGGAGGGTGTTGTAGTTGACAAGCAACTGCAACCAGAAAGGGTGTTTCTTTTCCTCATGGCCATGATCAGGAGAATGGGAAAACTGTAATCATCATGACAACAACATATGTTTCTACCAACATGAACAAGTGTTTTGTATATTATTTGGTTGTAACACATGAGCATTGGCTGGGGTCCCCTAAAGTCAGCGGATTTGGACACCGTAGGTTTTGACTGGGTTCCCTAAAGAGAGTCCCTGAATTTGGGACACGCCAATCCTGAACAGGAACAAATATCCGCCCTTCTGCTTCTTTACTTTGCCTTGGGTTGACCGCTTCAATACCAGGTTTTGATTGCCTCTCAAGTAGTGGTTTGATGGCCTGCTTCGAAATCTCTTGAGAAGGACATGAGAGAGAAGGGGCAGGAGTTCTGGAGAAGTTCCTGCCAGGAATCATGAGAGACTGGTTCATCCCGTCTGTGGGCTTGCTGGCAGACACCTGCCGCCTGATGTTGAGATCTTGAGGGAGAGGAGAAGGTCCGCCATTTGGTATCCCTGGTACGAACTGGAACGCCCAATCTGCTGAAATCCGCTTCGGAAAGTCTGGGAGGAGGGCATCCTGTCACAGGACTTCCTCTCAAAAGACGCTGCACTCCATTTGGGTTATAGTCTCATGGATGGCACCCCGTTGATCTTCTGGTTCCCAACCTGACGGTTCCTTAGGTTTTTAGGTTGATAGTTGGTTTAGTGGACTCTCCAGTGGATCTGAGGACAGTCTCTGGATTCTCTCAGGGTTTCCCTTGAAACCCCAAAAAACAGGACACACTCCCAGCCCCATCCCACTTTGATTTCGGGGAAGCTGTCTTGATGGAACCAAGGTGGTTGGATACCAAACCCTTGAAAAGGCCTGGCTGAAGGCTTGGCTGAGATTTCTGGGCGGAGGTTGCCCGATTTCTTGGAGGGGGAGCTGAGGCAAAGCTTCCTGGCGCATCGAGGCGGGCCAAATCCACGCCGCGGATTCTGACGGGATGGGTCGGACTGTGAGCCGGGACTATCCAAATGTGCCCTTAAAAAATGGGGTCATGATCCCTTAATTTTTGGTAATGACCCCATTTTTGAAGGGTCATGGAGACTTCAGGTATACAGGATCCCGGACCATTTTCCATGCATAGCCTTTCTTGGTTTTCCATCAGTCACGAAAGCCAGCCTCCTTTGGAGGCTTAGGCTGAGTTCAGTTTAGGCGAACGAAGTGAGTAATAGCGGGGTGCGGGCAGGACGTTTTTGGGCCGTTTTTTGGCCATACTAGAGGAGATTTGCCGCGTCCAATTTGAGCAGTTTTTGGGCACCTGGAGGGGGTTGGGCTTCCTGGATGGAGTGGGCTGGGGTGCTGGGGATGTTGCCGCGTCCAATTTCAGCACTTTTTGGGGCGGGGATGTCAAGAACGCCGGCCGCTGAAGTGAAAGTGCCCAGCATCCCCAGCCCGCTCCAAAGGCACGTTAGTTCAGCACAGCCTGCTCACCTTTCCAGGCGGCCCTGGGCATCCTTGTTGTCCTACAAACTACTCAGTCTTCAGAGGCTCTTTTTGGGCCGTGCTTCGGGCATACGAAGGGGGATTTCCCGCGTCCAATTTCAGCACTTTTCGGGTCGGGGATGTCAAGAATGCCGGCCGCTAAAGTGAAAGTGCCCAGCATCCCCAGCCCGCTCCAAGCACGTTAAGCACTCTTAACGGTGCTATTCAAGTTCAGCACAGCCTGCTCACCTTTCCAGGCGGCCCTGGGCATCCTTGTTGTCCTACAAACTACTCAGTCTTTCTCAGCACTCGTGGACCGGATTCTTTTAACGACGTCCCGCTTGCTCCCTCGTGGTCGGAGAGGATTTTTTTGGGCCGTGCTTCGGGCATACGAAGGGGGATTTCCTGCGTCCAATTTCAGCCCTTTTTGGGGCGGGGATGTCAAGACTGCCGGCCGCTGAAGTGAAAGTGCCCCGCTCCAAAGGCACGTTAAGAACTCTGAACGGTGCTATTCAAGTTCAGCATAGCCTGATCCGCTTTCCAGGTGGCCCTGGGCAGGGGGTTGGGCTTCCTGGATGGGGTGGCCTGGGGATGCTGGGGATGTCAGGCTCCGGGTTTCTCGACGCTTCCCTTTCGAGGGGGTTGGTGCTGCTGGGACGCACAGGGCGATTTCCCGCGCTGAAGGGCACTTGCACGGGGAACAAGCTGGCTTTCGTGCGCTTCCTTCTCAGGTTTCCCTTTCAGCCAAATTTCAGCTCTGCCTTTTTGTGGTTTGACTAGCGGTAGGAAGGGAGCCGGACTCGGAGCTGGTATCCAAATGTGCCGACAAAAAGCAGGGAGCCTTCCGGAGATACCGATCGGAGTCCTGGTTAGTAAATGGTAGTTTGGGTGTGTCTGACTTCACTGCTAGTTGGGTGGATTTTTAGCCTCTAACTTTTTGGGAAATCGTGAGATTGACAGATAACAAGTTCAGCCTTTTGCACAGGGGGCAATAATCAATAGCCAGAACGATGGGTGATTTTGTTGGTATGGATTACATAGAAAGCAAACCATCTTGCTTGCTTTGTCTTGACCAAATGAGGCACTGTCTGAAAAGATGGCAGCCTTATAGCTAGACATCTTAGTGGACATCTCTGTTGCGTGCCATTTTGGTGTCTTTGATATTCAGAGACAGGCGAAGGTTTGCCGACACCCCCGCAAGATAGGATATGGAAGCGGGACCCAAAACGGGGTGGGTGGCGTGGGGGGACGGGTTCTTTTGGTTTCGCTTTTTATCAGCCTAAAAGACAAAGACGGGTACCCTCACGAAAAAGACACGCCCATATGTCGGAAATCCCTGAACCAGTGACTACACTCTTCAGGGATGCCTTTATTTCACCCAGAGACAAACGGCAAGCCCAGTTGGAATCTTGGAAGCAACGGACTAGGGGCAGCATGTCACTTTTGTGTTGGCAAGCTTATGTTCTATATTGTTCTATTCATCAACCCCAATTTATTAATAGGGAGGTGTCCCAGGGTTTGGTGGGGAATCATCACTTTTTGAGGGGAACACCCCCCTATTAATAATCTGGGGTTGATTAATCGGGGTCAACATATTTTGTAAACATCACCTTCCACCGCCTATCTGTTTTTCAGCCCTGGGAAGAACAGTTTAGACCCTGGGATTCATATATCCAGAATACTTACCTAAGGATTGTCATCGTCTAAATTGGGTCCTTGCCATTGTGTTGATGGGGGCAAGGAACCCCAGGGGTAGAGTGGAAGCATCACGGTTCTCGGTAGGTGTTTCTTTCGTTGCTTGCTTGGTCCCTTTCTTTTGAGAGATGGGCTGCAAAGAGCCGATTATTTTTGGATAGCAGCATTGAGACCAGGGCTCTGGAAAGCAAACCTGGACCCTTAACAAGTCCAACTTGAACATGGGTTATTCGGCCAAGGTGATTTGTTTTGTTGGTAGTTCTTTCGGGTCCAGACACGTGTCACTGGAAGGTCTTCCCGAGTAGTCCACTGAGTCCACCATGAGACTGCCTGGAGTCTTCATGGTCATGACCTCTTATTTTTAGGTACTGACCCCCCATTTTTTGAGGGCCATAAGTCATGGAGACTCCAGCCTCGAACCCAGAGCGCCTGGGAAAGATGGTTTTTTGGGCAGGGTGCCATTTTAGATGGTGTAAGTCTACCTTGGGAATATCAATCGCGGAACCCAGATTCTGGGTCACCAACTTTTGCAGGTGTTGTCCATTTGCAGTATGGGTCTCCACGAAAGGTAGACCAAATCAGCAGGATCTGAACCAAATATATGTTCAAGTCTCCCACCAAGTCTTCGCAACAGGTCTCCGTGCTGGAGGTCTACAACGAGAAGGCGTGGCAACGCGGGCGCCAAAGTTGATGTTTGAAGTTTCCACGGGACAGCTTGAGTCAGAATACTGTCCTTGGTGGCTTGGGGATTTGAACCTCTGGATCTAGAGGATACATGGGAAACCCCCGCCAACGTCCAAAGCAGATGTTGGAGGGAAGCTGATTCGAATGCAATAATACCTCGGATTTGTTTGACTCACTGTGAAACTGTTATCCAGGGCCCATCCCTCAAGACCGAATGGCTATGTTTTTTTTAAGGGAACCACCTTAAAACTGGTCTACCTGGACCCTCAAACTACCAATATAAAAACGGGAATTCGCTCATGCTTTGGGCAATGTTTAAGTCATGTTGGGTGGTGGCCGCAAGTCTTGCGAAAGGCATTCGCACCACCTAGGAGAAGCCCAACGGAATGATATGGATATGGGTCAAAACTAAACCACCAGAAAAACCGCGGGTTTTAGTCCATGTTACTTACCACTTACAGGGTTCAATTTTGGGTACCTGTTTTTGACCCACAGCCATATGATTCCTCTGCAAGTGACAAGAAACGTTATGGTTTTAAGGACGGTTTCTTAGGTGGTGTACATCCACAGTAGGGGGGGTTCAGGGCTTGGATGCTGACTGGCCCCGAAAAATGTCGCTGAGAGTCTCCGTTTCGGTTGCAAACCCCTTTGCTATGGCCCGAAATGGCTTCGGATTTCGGGTTTTGAGGCTCGGTGCCCTTTTTGGGGTTTGTTTGTTGCAACGAAGGCACACACGGCGGGCTCGTCATTTCTTTAGGGCACACCCAAAATGGAAGTTGTCCCCCTTGGTGTCCAGTGAAACCATCCCAAAATGGGAACCGAGCCTCAAAACAGGCCCAAATTCGTATACCTGAGCCCTCAAACAAGGGGAATCACCCCAATATATCGGGGCAGTAACCCGGTTTTCACTTGGTGGCTCCCAGCCATCCCCTTAGCTTTTCAGCGTTTTGTGTTTAGTGGTAGTTTCCATTCAACCCACTAAAAGTTAAACTTTTAGCGGGGGATCTGAGGGCAGCCCAGTTCAGTTGGAGTTTCTTTCGGGTCCAGGCAGAGTGTGGGACAGGTGCGAGATTTGCTGGCGCCGGGGAGCACTATCAGCACCGCCCGGAGCCGAGAACGGCTCTTGGAGGGGACAAGACCAGGCTGTGGGTATAGCCCAGGAGAAAGGAGCAAAAGTGAAGAATCCCCACTAAACTCAACGACACCCCCCTATTAATAAACAGTTTTGTTTTCTTGAAGAAAGAAAAACAAATCCAGGGTAAACATTACTGGTAATGATGGGGGTGCACTACCTGGAGTCTCCTTCTGACCCTTGAAAAAATGGGTGCATGACCCGTTCCTTTATTTTGGGGAATGATCAACCATTTTTGAAGGGTCATGGAGACTCCAGGGAGAAAGGAGTCATGGCCCCATTTTGAAAGGGTCGGAAGGAGACTCCAGGTAGATTAACTTTAGGAAGGTTCATTGAAACCCCTCACATATAGCTTGTGGGCATAACCTGGCAGTTAAACTCGGAGTTGAATACTGGGGATGTTTGCGAAATCCACTTCGCACGGCTTTTCGAAACCCTCGGAAGCCGTTGTTTTTGGAACCATCGTTGGCTTTCTGAAAGGTGGCGCAGTTCTTGTTGCTGCTGGTGTTGTTAGTCGGTCCCGCTTCCGCTTGTTCTGTCTTCATATGTCCCAGCCGGTCCAGTTCCTTAGCTTCTTGGGTTTTCAGGGTGAGTGGGGGGTGTCCATAGAACCCAAAGGTTAACTTGTAGGGAGTCAGAGTGGACACCCCGGTGAAACACAGACAGGGTCCAAAGAGCCTCAACAAAAAGTGATCGGTTGTTGGGTTGCCTTTGTTCTGAAGATGGTTTGGTCGCCTCTGATTTGTTCTTTTCTTCGGTCGGTCGGTTGGTGGTTTGGTTGCGATTCAGAGAGCCGCGGGCATTGAGGCTCCGTTTGGTGTGTGTCTGCTTTGAGGATATGGACCCGCGAAAGTGTGGGGCTTCATTTTGGTTTCCCTTTGAAGCCGTCCAAAAATGGGGGCCCTCAAAGAAGGACACACCCAGTTGGGGATGGGTTTTCTGATTGCATCAGTCGACCAGAGCCCAGCTCAGATTTGGAAGGCTGTCCCGATTTGCCGGCGGAGATGTGGGGGCAAGACGAGCTCGCTGTGATGTAGGTCCCTTGCCTGGGTATCCCTTCCAGATTTTCGAATGTGAAATGGACCACAAACTCCAGTGGTTTTGTCCCTGCTTTCATGTTTCATCACTCCTAACTGGTGCAGGATTTTGCTCATCCAGAGTATTGTAACTAAGAATCGTGGTACCTCAAGACATGCCTTGTTAAGGTCCTTCTCCGCCTCCCAATGCTCTCATGGAGGCCCCGTTCCCCCTTCATTGTACGTTCCAACAATGCCTAGGATGTTTCTCAAAATAAGGCTCCCCTACAAAAAAGGATTTATCTTTTTGGTTTCTCATGTTTCCCGTTAATCCACCAACAAGGGGTTCACCATTTTGAGAAGCGCTCGGAGTCTCCTTGACTCTAAACAATATGGGTTCACAACCCATTTTAAGTTGGGTACTGACAAACCATTCTTTACGGGTCAGAAGGAGGCTCCAGGCACCCGTACTGTTAATGGTTCGCATCCATTTCGCACCACCCAAGAAACCCTGCAATGATGACTATTCCACTGTAAATACCGAAGCAAACGTTATAGTTTCCACAACCATGGTTTCACTTCGTGGTGCGAAATGGATTTTGCAACCATCCACAGTACCAACGACTTACGCCAACACCCCTGGAGGACCCCCCAAACCCCCCCCGAAAACCCCAGTAGTGCCTTTTCTCACCCCTTTTTTGGTTGGGAGGGGTTCCCTTACTAAAATAGACTACATGTTCTGGTTTCAACCATGGTTTCTTAGGTGGTGCGAACGGATTGCGTCCATCTATCGTATTTTTTCTCCGGATCCCTCAGAGGGCGCCTCGTTTTTGTTGTTTTTTCTCTCTCAGGTGGAGGTGCACGAGGTGCGCGAGAGGGAAGGCGCATCCGGGATACCTTGAAGTGGTGTTTTGCCATTTGGTTCCTTTGGCCTTTAGATACCTGGGGTAGACTTAGGATTTTATTTTTTTTTACCAGTGACTCCATGTGAAGCAAACAACCAAATATACATTCTATAACTGTGCCTAACTCTAATCATGATACCTGAGGAATATTGTTTGTTGATGATGAACATGATTTGGATTTTTCGGGGGTTAAATGGAAACCCCCACTCAACCCCAAACACCTAAGGAACCGTATGACTAGGAACCAAAGGACCAACTAACACCAGCAGCAAGAAGAGTACAGCGGATGGTTGCGAACTCCGCTCTTCGCACCACCTTGCAGAATCCCTGGAATGATACTGTGGATGGACGAAATCTTGCACCACCTAACAAACCCTGGAATGATGATTCCTTTGTAAATACCATCAAGAAGTTGTTTCCCATGCTTTCAAAGTGTTGCGAAATGGATTTCGCAACCATCCACGGTATGAATATTTTTGTATTTACCCAACAAAAACGTGGATGTCTTCAAGCATGGTTTGTTTCATTTTTGTTCGCTTTGTTTTTACCGTTTTCCCGCCGGCGAATTGGCTCACCTACATATCTGCTTCCACTGCGGGTGATGAGATCAATGGACTCCAAAAGTGGCAGCTGTCCTTTTGCTTTCCCAAAACAACCACCTGGAACCTCAAATATACCCATACAAAACTCCCCCCCCAAAACAAAAAAAACTAAACTGGACCCTCAAATATACCCATGCAAAAAGGGGTGCTCTTACCCCATATAAATTTTGGGGTAAGAGCTCACATTTTACGTGAGAGAATTGTGAGGGTGTAGGAAGCAAGCAGCGGGGTTCTCAAAAAGTTCCCTGGAAAAGACCCACCAGTCTCCGATCAGCGCCGAGCTGCTGAATTCGACTTCCAACGTGTTTGCTCATTGGTTCTTGGTTCAGGGTTGCTCACAGAAAGACGTGCACGGGCAGGGCAACTCATGAGCCACTGACAGAATTACTTGTTTCCCCAAGAGGCTATGGGAAAGTTAGAACTTGTGACAGCGGATTAACTAGGCATCGCAGACAATTGCTATTGACCCAGTTTCCCAAAACCATGGAGCCAGTAACACCACCCAATTACCAGGATCGCCAATAGGATTCGTTTTCGAGCATTGCTCAAATGAGTGGCCAAAACTCCTACTTTTGCCGGCCATGATTCTATGATAAACCCATACCTGGAGTCTCCTTCTGACCCTAGAAAAATGGTTGGTCATGACCCCCTTATTTTGGGTAATGACCCCAATTGTTTAAGGGTCACGGAGACTCCAGGTACAACAATTGTCCAATGAATCTCGCAGGGCTCGATGACCAGCCAGAAGCACCCTGTAAGCGGTTTTTTGATGGCAGTCGTCTTAGTGCCTCATTTAGTTTCTTGCAAAAGGCTATAACTTTGAGTGGGATACGTTGTAAATCCATGTACCTGGAGTCTCCATGAGTCATTACCCAAAATACAGGGGTCATTGACTCATTTTGTAAAAGGGTCATGGAGACTCCAGGTACATCCAAGTTTAAGCACCGAAATCCAAAAGCCAAAGGAACCGTACTGTGGATGGACAAAATCCATTTCGCACCTCCGATTTGAGCCACAATCACAGCACGGGTAGATGACGCGTTATAAGGCTTCATCCCAACCATAAATGGATACAGCAGCCGTTTTGATTCCTTACATGGCTCTGGGAATTGCGGGTCATTTTAATACCAGGTTTGGGATATGACTCATTTGGGTCAACTGGAAGCACTGGGCTCTAAGGTTCTAAGAGCCTTCCTTCGAGTGGGGAGAGGGGGCTCCAAGTTCCGATGTTGAGACACACCCGATTTTGGTGTGAATCTTTTGGGGGCACCCCTATGGCGATGTTCCTGTTGGATTTCCTTCACAAACGCAGCAAACAAGTGGGTACCCTGAAAAAGACACCCATATGTGAGCCAACCCCCTTGACTTAGGTCCCCCCAACCCAAACCCAAACCCCCCAACAGTTAAAACACCCCCCAACCCCAACCCTTAACCCCCCCCCAAGTGGTTTCCCCATTTCGCCTTTGCCAGGCCTTCTGAGTTTCCGGTGCCCTGATGCCATCACCTGGTCGGCGCGGGATTTTCGGAAGTTTTCGGATCCGGATCGATCCAGATGTCAAGGGGCGCGAGAAGCCATGTGGTTCCAAGGGCCCAGTGGGTCCCAGGCGTTTTGCCCAAAATGGCAGGTAACCATGGTTGCCTGCCAAGGAAAATTAACTGGAGGTCGGAGGTATTGTCCTTTTGGTTTTTAAGGGCGGTTCCCTTGGTTACCTACAAGACAGGTAGATGGATCCACTGGGTGGGGAAACTTTGGTGAGCGTCCCCTTCTAACAATGGTCATACTTGCCTCGACCTCATGTTGGTTGAACACCCAAGTAGCCACCATTCCATATGGGTGTCTCGTTTTGTTGGAATTAGTACTCCCTATTTGGTGGTTTCAATCGGAAACAAAAGGACCACCGACACCATTTTCTTCTGGGGGGGCCGGATCCCAAAAGACAACACACCCATTTTATCCTGAGCGTAGTATCTACTGAGACCACTTAACCGCCCCAACAACAACCACTGAGAAACACCGCCCCCTGCAAAACCCAAGCTGCAAGAGGGTTATGGACCCTTTTTTAAAGGGTCAGAAGGAGACTCCAGGTACCCAGAAAGGCAATTCAACACTTCCACAATTGTGGTGCGACCAGTCCCATCTTTCAGTTGGCGGTTTTGGTTGGATCCGGGTACCTGGGCCCCAAAAAGTGTCCAACTAAAAAAAATAAATTCTTGGAAGCCACAAATACCGTGGAGGGTTGCCACATCCATTTTGCACCTTTCAGAATCCCTGGTTTCTCAAGATGCCCTTGTAAAACGCCAACACAAGTTGTGTGGTTTCATGTCGGGGTGCGAGAAGCGGATTTCCGCAACCATCCGCAGTATAGTGGGCGAAATCCGGAGGTACCTAAACCCTCAGAAACTACCCAGAAAAAAGCTGGAGTTCACCCACCATAATGTTGGGCTGCATTCATACTGTGGATGGACGAAATCCTGCACCACCCAAAACACCATGGGAAACCATTGTTTGTTGGTATTTACAGGGGGGAATTGTCATTCCAAGGTTTCTTAGGTGGTGCAGGATTTCGTCCCTCCACAGTACAATGTCAAGTTGGAATTGTGGTTGGGTCCAGGCGAATTGGTTGTCTCGGGCTCCAACACCTGGCGCTGGCCAGAGCGCGAGTCGCGCACGGAATGATAGGCTTCCCCAAGGCAAATACCAACAGTTGTGGACTAGGAATTTTCCACCCTAGAACCATAGTAGTCCCCTCAAAACAACAAGAAACCCAAAGAAATGCCGTGAAAAAAGCGGAATGATTCGATTCCCCTGTCACCAACAACGACTCATGGTTTCAACCATGGCTTCAAAGCGGTGCGAAATGGATTTCGTCCATCTGCAGTATTATCCCCGAATTTCTAGGAAGGCACCCCCTCTGGTTTTTGTTTCTTCTTCTTTTTTCTCCGAGGTGGAGGTACGAACAAACGTCCTGGTTTCCCGTGCTTCAAAGTGGTGCGAACGGATTTCGCAACCATCCACAGTAACGACTTATGTCACACACCCCTTTTTGGGGGACCCCCCAAACACCCCCAAAACCCTTCCCCCCCCAAAAAAAAACACCCTGTTGGGAATGACGAAAAAGCTTCTTGCTCCGCAGGCGAAGACTCCGGAGGAGGCCATGGCGGCTCTCACGGAGGTCGGAGATCGATGCGAATGGGGTGCTTGGTGCAAACCCCTGGTGAACATGGCCCGGATCTGACCATGTTTGTTTTCCAATTTTGCGTATGGTTCGTGGTCAGAAAAGTTTGTTTTTGTTCTTTTCCGATTTTGGTGGGTTTTGTGGGACCATTTGTTTGTCTGTTTTTTTCCTATTTTTCCGGCTTTGGTATGTTTCGTGATCACAAAAGGTGATCACCAAAGAAGTTTTCCAGTTTGGGTACAAGAGGTGAGCACCATATTTGTTTGTCCGTGTCCTTTGGTGGCAGGTCCAAGTCCTCAAAAGGGCAGATTTTGAGGTACCGAGTTTGTTCGGGCAGGTCAGCGGTCCAAGTAGATTTTGTGGTTTCTGAGTATACCTTTGGGGGCGGACACTTTTGGATCCATGTCCAACCGGCCCTTTGGCTTTTGGGGTGTTTGGCTTTGCGTTTGAAGCCAAATCCAAATTCCCTTATTGGGATATTGCTCAAAAAACTATGTTTGAGGGTCTGGGGCTGATTGAAAGGGACACAGAAGCCTGAAAGCCGCGCAGTGCTTTGTCCTCAAGCAACCCCACCACGGCCCCCAAAGGTCTGCCGGATCCAATGATTCAGGGTGAAGAAGCCTTCTTAAGGCAAACAATAAGGCTAAAGAAGACCAAGTAAGGGCTCAACAGTTGGGAGAGGCGTTGCTTGTAGGTGCTGGATATTTGTAGTATAGCAAGTCTGTTGTATGTTTGGGCCAAGCCAATTCGTTGGTATAAGGGAGTTGCAAGCGTGAGGTGCAACCAAGAGCAGAGTCAACGCGGCTCTAAAAATGATCGACACGCACAGCAGAAATGTGGCTTGTCTGCTTGGAGGCTACTGCCTCCTTTGTTGTGTAGTTTAAAAGGGAAACCAACACATAATAATTTAAAAAACAAAAACAGTTGCGGTGTGTGTGTGGCTTGACTTCTTGGAGGCTGCTGCCCCTTTTGTGTAGGTTAAAAGGGGAAACCAAGCGAAAAAAAAGCACAGTTGCGGGGGGTCCCCTAAAGAAGATATGCCTGGAGCCTCAAAATTCCCTTGAAATTGGCTATTGCCCCACGTTTTGGGGTGAAGTCCCATGTGCGGCCTTGTGTTCCATTGTTTTGGGGGATTTGGACCCCTTAAATCAATTTGTTAGTGTTCCTGCTGGTTTCCCTTTACCACCAAGAAAATGATCTCCTCCTTCAAAAGACGAGCCAAAATGCAACGATACTGTTTTTTTTCTCTGGACATCCACTGCTTGGATGTTCAGCCAACGTCAGGTAAGGTTGTTACAACCATGATTGCTGGGGAACCTGGGGTGATCGTCTCATTTTAGTTATGACCTACTTACCTAACCCGAGCCAGAAACAAAACACGAGTAGATAAAGGCGGACCGCTCAAATGGATTTGTGCTGGAGTGTCGTTGGCGTTGAGGCTGTTTCCAATACTGCGTTGAAATGGGTGCCTTTGCCGATTGAGTTCTTGACGCATGGTTCTGGGTAGATAAGTTGATACCGGGTTTTGACTGTGACTCAGCACTCTTCGTATCAGTGGGCGGATTTCAGTACAGCTGTAGCGGCTATGAGTTTGAGGTCAGGGTTCCACTTGTTGACTAACCCAAGCTAGACTTAAACCCAGAGGATCTCCTTTTTGGAGGAAGGAACCACTGGGTTTAAGTCTACCCTGTCAAAAGTGGAACCCTGGTTGAGTACCCAAGTATCTGGTTTTAGTCCCTAACCATGGTTATAACCTTTGCAGTTGGGTGAACACCCGGTTTTTGGAATATGAATTCACTTTATGTTCGAGGGTCCAGGTCGACTATCTCAATACCCCTTGGTCTTTCCAAGGGCCTGCAAACAGGGTCCTTCTTGAGTTTGCTCTTGAAAAAGGGGAAAATGGGCCAAAGGCAACTGCTTTTTCAGGGTCCCGGAAGATGGGTTTTGCGGGGTCCCCTAAAAAGCAAAACATCGATCCCCAAGTAGTGAATTCTGCAAGTGGTGAATTTTCCTCCAAGATGAGTTCGGGAGACCTTCTATACTTGGATGATCTATGGCTGCAGATGACTTGGGAGTATGTGGGCGACCCTGCCAGAGTGTTCCCAATATACCCCCTTGACCCCATGAGTCCCAAGTCCTTTGCGCCCAGAACGACAGATCCCCGTTTGGTTGACTCCTCTTGGCTGAGCAAGAGGTCTCGGGGCTTTCGGCGCTCGCCCGCAGGGCTGTCGAAGGCGCGAGGTGGCGCGCACAGATATGCCGCAGCCCCACGCGCGTCGGATGGAGGGTAGAGTGGTCGGACCTTGTCTTGGTGGTTCACAGCGAATGGCCTGGTTCCTTGGTGTTTAGTTTTTTTGGTTGCTTTTTGGTTGCTTTTTGGCTGCTTTTTGTTTTGTTTTAGTTGCTCTCTTTTTTAACAAAATATTTTACATTGGTTGTACGTAGTTGGTTTTATTTGGACCAAGCACCCCAAGGGCCCCGGGGAAAAAACAACAAACAAAAAAGACAGCATTGTTGAGGACATCAACACCTGAAAAAAAAACTTCGATTTTGTGTCACTCGCCAATAGTTGGGACCCCACAAAATGATGAGTTCCCCTCGTCACCCTGGGAGGATTTTTGTTGGTGAAAGTACATGTTCTGGTTCCCTCTCTTTGGTTTTGTCATCGCCTTTACCCACTTTTTCATGGAATGGTGGCATCTACTTTCACCCTGGTGTACTCTGCCTTCAGTTTTGGAAGCAAGCCCTATGAATCCACCAGCTTGAATCTGTGGTCATGCTTCGGGCTTTGAGTCAATGAAGGCTGATTTGATCCATATGAATCTGCACGCATGGACCAAGAGGAAACTTGGACACTTCAACAGGGCTTCTTTCCGATCTGCATTATGCAACCATTTAAAACATGTTTTTTTCCACCAATACAAAGAGAAACCACCATTTACAAGGCAATGTGCAGGTGTATAATGTAAGGATCCCTATTCAAGCGTTTCTTGGGGCTTCCGTAGCCCTTATTTCCCATGGGGTTTGTTCTGGCTCAGAAGATCTGGGGGTTACCCAAGCCATCGCAATCATTGGCTGTGAGCTGCATGTTGGGTACTCTCTTCGGGGTTTCTGGGGCGCGACTGGGTCCCGGGTATGGCGAACTATGAAATCTCGACATATGTTCTCAGTACCCCAGTGGGCCAAGTTACACAAGTCATAAGGCTCATGTTCTCATCTTGGACCGATTGTCCTGAATTGCCGAGGAGTTCAATTGTGTCTTGGGCTTTGATTTCACTGGAGCCAAGTGCATACCTCAAATTGAATGGGTGGCAGGTGGAGTGACTTGAAAAAAGGGTTTGTTGCTTGCAGAACCAATCCTAGGTCCCCCAGTGGTGCCCTTTTACCCTTTTTTGGGGGAGGGTTCCCCTACTAAAATAGACTGCAGAAAAAAGGTGGTACCCATATTCTAACCTCTCTACTGGAGGACCTAGAATCTCGTCAGTCCTCGCCAGCTGCCAGCCTATACGATAAGTTGCTGATAGATGCATGCCGAACATCCTCCCGATACTTGAGCGAGCCGGACGGGGTCCCTGGGCTACAGACCACACAGTTCAGGGAATGTCTACCCGACATGTGATCCAAATGGAGAGGAATTGCAGTTTCAACTGCATACATGGAGTGTTTGGGATAGGGAGGCAGTTATGCAATCAGGTCGGGGTGGTCCTCAATCATTTTTTGGTGATTGTTGTGACATCCGGGATGCAAGGAACACTCGAGAAAGGCTTTCCAAAGAATCACGCCAAAACAGCGGGGTTTTCCGTCCATCCAGAAACCAAAACTACATCCTGCAGATGATTGTGGGCAACCCCCCTTAGCATGTCTTTCTGCCTGTTGCCTTGTCTGACTTTTACTGGGACATCATCTACTGCTTCCAACCAATCTGGACCTCCGGGGTGCGCGATGGATTTGCTGTTCCTTGCGCGCTTTCGGCTCCAGAAAGAGTGGGGGTCACTAAGGCATGAAGCCTCGGCATGCAAACCAATCAGCACTGAAGCAACAACTTGAGCTCCGAACTGCGCCACCCCGCGGATGCTACGTGGTTTTTTGCAAGGCGTCACTCAGCTGTCATCGGGCCTTCTTGGTTGATCGCTTCCCGCGTCTTCGCTTAAACGCGCGGATGCGGCGGGTTTGGGTGTCCTGAACTGCGATCGATGATCGATTACAGCGAAGACTGGCTCGTCAGCACCCTCTTCCGACTTCGAGGCACGAGCGGCTTGCGCCAGCTTTCGCTCATGACACGACGACGACCCAGCGGCCTCGATTGCCCGCAGTAGCCAACAAGGTGTTTGTTGAGCTTTGTTGGTGTTACGTCATGTGCCCCTTTGAAACAAAAGCTGACGGCACGAATTGGAAGCTCCGTGCCATGTATTGGAATCACACATGAGCGGCATGCCAAGTTTCGGTTGGGCAATGGTGAATCCCTGTTCCTGTTGGAACAGCAATGTTGTCATCTGTGCATCGCCATGTTTATGGAGACACCCCCCTCAACATGTTTGGGTTTGTTTCTAAACACCCAACAGCACCGCCCCAGCCCTCCTTGCATTCAGAGGTTGGTCATACACAAAATACCACAAAAACCTGAGGTAAACCATGCAACCCAACATGGGCTGTGACGACTTCGCGGGTCCGATCGGTCGAGCGCTGGCTGGGAAGCGCTGGGAGCCATGTCAGCTCTGGCTCCCAGCCATCCGGTTCCTTAGCTTTTTTTCGCATCTTTTAGCGTTGAGTGCTTGGTTTGCCATTTGAAGCCCACTAAAAGTTAGTCCACTATTAACGGGGGATCTGAAAACGGACAGAGCTTTGGGGCTCCGGGACATGAAGCTTCGGATCATTTTCGCATGGGACCGGCTGGGGGGCCAAAGGGAATATTGATCCACCCCCACTTCGCAGCGGTTAGGACACATGCAACAGATGCAACAGCAACCCTCCATTTGGTTAAGAATATGATTTGTAGTTTTGCCTGTTGGCTTTAGAGGGAATTTATCACTACTGCCCAGAGGCTCGTGGGCCCTCCTAGGGAGGGTCCGGGGCCCTGCCCCCAGTGCAATCCGGACGGGATGGATGGAACCAAAATAGCCTCGAATCACACCTCCCCTAGCATTACTATCCGACGGTGATCCGACGGTTATCCGACGCCGGGCCCTCGTAGACACTCAGTTTTGGGGGCCCCGGCCCAATTATCCAACGGTTATCCGACGGCTATCCGACGGCCATCCGACGGTTATCCGACGGCTATCCGACGGCCATCCGACGGTTATCCGACGGTTCTCCGATGGTAATCCGAAGCTTGTTTGCAGCCCAAAGGCCCCCAACAAAAAACCAGCCCGAAACCTCCTACGACCGCGAGGGCCCGCGAGGGCCCAAGGGCCCGAAACATGAGTTGGGAGCGTCTGGGAGTAGAGATTCTATTTTGTTTGCTGTGTGTGGCTGCCATGCTTTTTGTGCAGTTGGATTTTTTCTAGGCCTGTCACTGGCCTGCTTGGTCGGGCTGCTGATTCTCTTGAAGTGGGATGTTTGTGGTAGGGCTGTGTGGATGTCGCTTTCTTGGCGCAGTTGCTTTTCTTCAGGGCCTGTCGCTGGCCTGCTTGGTCCGGCTGCTGCTTTTCGTGAAGCAATATTTTTCCGAAGGGCTTCTAGTTTGCTTGTTCTGTGTGGCTGCCGTTTTTGTTGGTTGTTGTGCAGTTGGTTCTTTTCAAGGCCTGTCACTGGCTTGCTTGGTCGGCCTGCTGCTTTTCGTGATTTTTTTCAGTATAGAGATTGTTGTTTTTTGCTTGCTGTCTGTGGCTGCCGTGTTTTGGTGAAGTTGGATTTGTTTCAGGGCCTGGCACTGGCCTGCTCGGTCGGGCTGGTGATTTTAGCAGCAAAGTGGGATTTGTTGTAGGGCTTCGAATTTGCTTGTTGTGCTTGAGTGCCACTTTTTTGGTGCAGTTGGATTTTGTTCAGGGCCTGTCACTGGCCTGCTTGGTCGGCCTGCTGCTTTTTGTGAAGTGGGATTTTTCCCGAGAGCTTCTAGTTTGCTTGTTGCGTGTGGCTGCCGCGTTCTTTTTTGTGTAGTTGTTGTTTTTATAGGGGCCTGTCACTGGCTTGCTTGGTCGGGCTGCTGCTTTTCATCGCTTTTCGTGAAGTTGGATTTGTTTAGTAAAGCTTCTAATTTGCTTGTTGTGTGTAGCTGCCATGTTTTTTGTGCAGTTGGATTTTTGCTCAGGGCCTGAGGGCCTGTCACTGGCCTGCTTGCTTGGGCTGCTGCTTTTCGTGAAGTTGGATTTATTTAGTAGAGCTTCCAATTTGCTTGTTGTGCGTGGCTGCCATGTTTTTTGTGCATGCTGTCACTGGCCTGCTTAGTCAGGCTGCTAATTTTCGTGAAGTGGGATTTTTGCAGTAGGGCTTCTAATTTGCTTTTTGTGTGTGGATGCCGCTTTTTTGGTGCAGTTGTTTTTGTTTCAGGGCCTGTCGCTGGCCTGCTTGGTCGGGCTGCTGCTTTTCGCGGTCTTGTTTTTTTTTGTAAAGCTGCTGCTTTGTTTGTTGTGTGTGGCTGCCATTTTTTGTTGTTGCGCAGTTGGATTTCGTTCAGGGCCTGTCACTGGCCTGCCTGGTCTGCTGTTTTTCGTAAAGTTTGATTTTTTTTGATTTTTTAAGTAAGAGTTGCTACAGTAATTGCTTGTTGTCCGCGGCTGCCGTGTTTTGTTCAGGGTCTGTCGCTGGCCTGCTTGGTTGGGCTGCTGCTTTTCGCAAAGTGCTTTTTTTCTGGTTTCTAATTTGGTTGTTGTCTTTGCCTGCCTGTTTTCTGCAGATGTTGTTGGCAATCTTGCTTGCGAAGAGCTGTTGCCTCACGCAGGGCGGTGGGCGGTGGGCGGTGGGCGGTGGGCAGGACATGCGGGTCATCAGGCGGGCCATGCAGGCCACAGCCGGACCAAGCAGGCCAGCGACAGGCCCTGAAGAAAAGCAACTGAAGCGACATCCACACAGCCCTACTACAAACATCCCACTTCAAGAGAATCAGCAGCCCGACCAAGCAGGCCAGTGACAGGCCTAGAAAAAATCCAACTGCACAAAACGCATGGCAGCCACACACAGCAAACAAAATAGAAACTCTACTCCCAGACGCTCCCAACTCATGTTTCGGGCCCTTGGGCCCTCGCGGGCCCTCGCGGTCGTAGGAGGTTTCGGGCTGGTTTTTTGTTGGGGGCCTTTGGGCTGCAAACAAGCTTCGGATTACCATCGGATAACCGTCGGATGGCCGTCGGATAGCCGTCGGATAACGGATGGCCGTCGGATAGCCGTCGGATAACCGTCGGATGGCCGTCGGATAGCCGTCGGATAACCGTCGGATGGCCGTCGGATAGCCGTCGGATAACCGTCGGATGGCCGTCGGATAGCCGTCGGATAACCGTCGGATGGCCGTCGGAAGCCGTCGGATAACTGAGGGTCTACGAGGGCCCGGCGTCGGATACCGTCGGATACCGTCGGATAACCGTCGGATAACCGTCGGATAGCCGTCGGATAGCCGTCGGATAGCCGTCGGATAACCGTCGGATAGGGGAGATGTGATTCGAGGCCATTTTGGTCGATCAGCGATCCATTGATCCCGTCCGGATTGCACTAGGGGCCCACAAGGCCCCGTATCCGACAAACAGGCGGGTCCTTTCAGGAGGGAGGGCCCCGGACCCTCCCTAGGAAACCCCACTTCATGCAAAGCAGGAGCCCAACCAAGCAGGCCAGTGACAGGCCCTCCAACTGCGCAAAAAAAACGGCATTTGAACTCCCCGTGTAAAGAAACATCACTTTTGGGACCCGGGATTTTGAATTTTTGAATTGTTTGAACTGTCCAAGTACAGAAACATCACGTTGGGGACCCGGGGTTTTGAACTTTTTGAACTCCCCAAGTAAAGAAACATCACTTTCGGGACCCGGGATTTTGAGCTCCCCAAGTAAAGAAACACCCGGCGGAACATCACTTTCGGGACCCTGGATTTTGAACTCCCCAAGTAAAGAAACACCCGGCGGAACATCACTTTCGGGACCCGGGATTTTGAACTTTTTGAACTCCCCAAGTAAAGACACATCACATCACTTTAGGGGACCCGGGATTTTCAGCGTTTTGAACTTTGTTGGTCTCCCCAAATCAGGAACTAGGATTTCACAACCCGGGTTTTTGACCTTTTTTGTCGGTCTTTCAATCTCCCCAGCCCAGGAACTCAGATTCGAGGGGCCCTGGATGTTGACCTAGTTGGTTTCTTCCAAAATTCGCAAGTAAAGAAGCATGAATTGAAACAAGCCACCAACCCACACTAAATGAAACAAGCGGCCCCTCCAAACAACCAACCAAAACTAAATGAAACAAGCGGCCCCTCCAAACAACCAACCCAAACTCAATGAAACAAGCGGCCCCTCCAAACCACCAACCCAAACTACAGTAAATGGAAAAGCGGCCCCCTCCAAACCACCAACACAAATTAAATGCAACTAGAACCATCAACCCAAACTAGTTGGAAAAAATACCCAACCCAACCAAGCCAGCAACCCAAACTAATGGAAAAACGGCCCCCTCCAAACTACCAACCCAAACCAAATAGAAAAAACGGCCCCTCCACGCAACCAAACGAAACTAAATGAAACAAGCGGCCCCTCCAAACCAGCAACCCAAACTAAATTAAAAAAGCGGCCCCTCCAAACTACCAACCCAAACTAAATGAAACAAACGGCTCCTCCAAACTCCAAACCAGCAACCCAAACTAAATGGACAAAACAGCCCCCTCCAAACTACCCACCCAAACATAATGTCAAAACCGGCCTCTCCAAACCAGCAAATGGAAAAGCGGACCCCTCCGACCAAACCACCAACGAAAATTAAGTGAAACTAGAACCACCAAGCAAAAGTAAATAGAACAAGCGGCCCCTCCAAACAACCCAAAAACTAAATGAAACAAGCGGCCCCTCCAAACCAGCAACCCAAACCAAATGAAAACAGCGGCCCCCTCCAAACTACCAACCCAAACTAAATGAAACAATTGCCCCCTCCAAACCAGCAACCCAAACGAATGCAAAACCGGCCCTCCAAACCACCAACCCAAACTAGATGGAAAAGCGGGTTAAATGAAACTATAGAACCATCAGCCCAAACTAAATGGAAAACGCGGCCCCTCCAAACCTCTTCTTTGCAAAGCCAGGCCTTCCCCGTTATTTTTATTATGCTTGTGGGTTCTCAGACGCGCATTTTATTGTACCAGGTCCACATTGTGTTGCGCCAGGATGATGCCATTGTTCGGGTTATGACTATACATGGCTATGGTTTTTAAGGGGCATGCAAAGCCCGACGCGGCGCGAACCTTGGTACGGAGGTATGTAACGGGGGCTCTTGTAACTCTGTAGCGAGAGAACAGTGCTTGACACTTCCACAATTCCAGCTCGAAAGTTGCATTTGTTGATTCACCCGGCTGCAACGTTTCTTTTGCTGAAGGGCAAGCTCTTTGCAAGTTATTTACATCAATTCTGCTGTTTTAACTGCGTGTTGTCAATTTGTTGTCTTATCTATTTGTTTGATCTTTTATTATTTGTTATTTTTTATCTGTCTTTATCTCTTCCCAGTAAAAGAAACAGTAGATAATTACTAAGTTCAGATTAAGTGTCCGGTATCTAGACTATCTATTTGCTTTCTCTAATCTGGGCTATGTTGCCACGAGCCTTAGCCCCCCCCCCCAAACCAGCCCGAGGGCCCGCGAGGGCCCGCGAGGGCCCGAGGGCCCGAAACATGAGTTGGGAGCGTCTGGGTGGAAGGAGTTGGGTATAGCACCTCCCAAAGGTTCGCGGCCCTCAAATCCGAGCCACGTTGAGTCCGAAAGGAACAAAATCCTCGGTGAGGGCTCGCTCCCCCGTGGGTGAGACCTTGGTAGGGTCTTGGACTTATTGTTTTTTCTCCCAGGTGAAGTGATCGAAAGAATTACCTGGAGTCTCCTAAAATGGTTGGTCATTAGCCAAAATTAAGGGGTTACGACCCATTTTTCTAGGGGTCAGAAGGGGAGACTCTAGGTACCCAAAAACAAGTTGGAATTTACCAGTTCCGGGGCAGGCGAGAACCCATTGTGAAGCAAGTTTGGAGGGTCCAGGTAAACTTTAGCTAGACGTTTTCCTAAACTGGAACTGAGCCTTGGTTGGAAAAGGGCTGCTAGGATTGAACATGTATGCTCCAAGTGGGCTCTTCTTTGTTTGAGGCTACCCTTTTTGGGTTGGTTTTAAAGGGGAACCAAGGGGACAACCACAATTTCGGGGGTCCCCTCCTGAAACGGGACACACCCAAATACACGATTCTTTTTTGGGTATGTCGATGCCTTTCTGGCGAGGAGTGCTTTCAATCTAGGGATGCCCCGTGCTGTTCACTCATGTGTTTCTTTCAGAAACCATCCATTCCAATCTTGCTGGTGCTCAGTAGGGAATGTGGGAATCAACCCAGGGATTCCCTTAAAGGAAACCACAAGTTGGATGGTTTATCTTGGGGTCATTCCATTTCTCATTCCCTGCCTACCGCACCAGCCATTCCAATTTCCTTGAAGTGTCCAATTTCCGCCACCCGTGCATTATGTCTTGTTTGCCTTGCTCATGGCTTTCGCATATTTTGCCGGAGCTCGCATGTTCTTGGCCTATAGTCGCTTCCGAAGTAAACAATATTGTCTGCAAAGGTGTCTTAAGATGAGGCTCGTTGGCTTTCCCTTTGCTTTCCCAAATCATCCCCTACCCGGCTACCCTCAGAAAAGACGAGCCACCCATAGGCGTTGATTTTTGTTCGAGGGCAGGTTGGGTTGCTTTTTTTTCAGAGGCCAAGTGATTCATTCAAGCAGCGCTTCAGCTTCCACAGAGGCACACAAGCTATGGTCGCCAGACATTTGTTGTTTTGTGTTGTGTTTTTTTCCTCAAGGTGTTAAACCATGATTTCCCTTGTGTACACCGGAAGCACTGGCATCCACTTGGGAAGATCATTTGGGTGTGTCTCTTTGTTGAGCCCTTGCTGCTTTCAAGGCAAACCACCAGGAAGCCACCCATTTTGGTGGTTCCAAACCCCTGATTTGAAGACGGACCCACTTTGGCGCCAAGCAAAACACCAACGGGCACCAACCCTTCCCGGCCCAATCCACTCGGCTCCCCTATCGCCAAGTGAGCCACGTGCTCAAAACCCGGGGATTGACGAAGGTTAGGAAGGGACAATCCCCTTGCCATAAGAAGCTGCGGAGATCCGCCTTCGAAAGATTCTGGAAGCATGGTTACTGGGATTACGACCATGTTAAGACCGGGTTTTGAGTATGACTCACATGTATAATGATCAACCACTGGTTACTAGTACCAAGCCCATGGGTTTTGAGCAAGTGACTCAGGCAAACCGGGGAGTTTCGTCCTATGGAGTTTCATCCAAATTGGGTCCTTGCCATTTGAATCTCGGTGGGGGTACCATTGGGGGTTACTGGGTACCATTTTACTGGGGGTACCATTTTACTGGGGGTACTGGGTACCATTTTATTTGGGGGTACAATTTTACTGGGGGTGGGTACCATTTTTGAGGGGGGCACCATTTCTTTTCCTGGGGTACCATTTGAATCCCGGGGTGATTCCGTGCCGCAGGCTCCGTGGCGCCGCGGGCGTGCTACTTCGCGGTGCCCACGGGATTGGTGGCCCCTGAGCGGTTTTGGGTGTGGTGCTTGGGGTGGGAGGGCGGAGTGGGGGGGTTGGGGGGGGTGGGGGGGTGGGGGGTGGGGGGGTGGAGTGGGGGTGGGGTTGGGTGGGGGGGGGTGGGAGGGTGGAGTGGGGGGGGGGAGGGGGAGATCTGAAGAGGAGCTTTTCGGTGCAAGGAGTACCTGCACCCAACCAACATTCCTGCTTGAACAGTTTTTTTTTTTTTTTTTTTTGTGCGGTTCCGAATTGTGCGGTGCATCTCCTTTTTTGTGGGTGAGGGTCCAAAGTAGTCTAAGTCCCGCAAAATGCAACAAAACCATAGTCAAACTTGAACATTGTTTTACAACGTAAGCATATGTGGGATCCCGCCCTTCCAGGGAAACCATTGTGCAAACTTCCCAGACCTCGCATGCCCTTTGTTCTGGTGGCCCACCCGTGTCCTTGCGAGTCTAGCAAAACAAATAGCTTTTAGTCACCTGGCATTTGTTGGCTCACGACAAGCATCGTTTTGTTCCCAGTTACCAACTTTTGCTTGGTTACGGCATTCCCTTTCGGGTTGGTGTGTCAAATTGGGAAGCCCAAAGGAGCAATTATACTGGGAAGCCTCCTTTTGGCTGCAATTCACAAGGCGGGACACAAATGCGCTCGATGAGATCATGTGCCTGCAGCGGTGCATGAAAAGGAAGCAGCCCGGAAGCTTTTTTTTTTCGCCCAACAGCTGAAAGCCTTGGGGTCTTCGCTCAAATAAGCTCCGGAGTGATTCGGAGCGGGGATTCCCAGGTTTTGACAGTGCGACTTGAGGGTTTTGAGGTTTTTGTTCAGTTGGTACAGAGGCACCAATTGAGTTTTCAGTAGCTGTAGGCAGCTTTCGCTGTCGCCTACTTGGATCGCCACCCCATTTAGCAAGTGCTTAATGTTCCTGGCTAGCAAGCTTCTAAGTGGCTTAACGAAAGAATAATTCCAGCTTGGGGAGGGGAGATTAACCATGTACCAAAAGGGACGTTGTTATCCAAGCTGACATCATGCACCGCAAAACACGTGTCATTTGGCTTATTTAGAGGTTTTGTTTTTGAGGGTGATACTGCCAACTGTTTCAGACTGTTTCCAGTTGTAACTAGGTAACCAAGGGAAACCTTCATGTGAAAGCTAGAGGTAATGACCCCTTGGTTAGCTATAGTGGCTTGAAAAGCCAAGCACTAGGGAATAAAAAGAGAGCCCTGAAGGAAAGCATCCGCTTAGATGTTCATACCACGTCAAGTAGGCCCAGCTGTTGAAGGCCCAGGGGACCTGGACAGCCTGGACCCAACCAAAATACCAACTTAACAATAGCTAGGTCCTCCAGTAGAGAGTTTAGAACAAGGGTACCAACTTTTTTTTCTTCGGTTTAGTCTATCTTAGTAGGGGAACCCTCCCCCAAAAAAGGGTAAAAGGGCACTACTGAGGGACCTAGAATAGGTTATTGCTCCACAACTATGGGGCAAATCCATGGTTTTTACTTTCTGTTATGGGCATTTGGAGGGTCCAGGAACCCGTTTGAGCCAAGTCGCAGGGTAAAAGTTTGTTACCATGGCTAAAAATCAAGTCATCTATCGGTTGCCATTTTTCGCCCTGGCAAACCCAAACCCCAGGTGAGCCACGAACAAAACCCGGGGATTGATGAAGGTTAGTAACGGACACTCGCCTTGCCATAAATAGCTGCGGATTTCCGCCTGCTTGATTCTGGAAGCATGGTTCTGGGATTGCGACCATGTTAAGACCGGGTTTTGAGTATGACTCACGTATGGCAGGCTTTCCTATAATGTTGTCCCCGATGAATCAACCCCTGGTTACTAATATAGGGTGATAAACCCTCACCAAACCCTTACCAAACCCATGGGTTTTGAGCAAGTGACTCAGGCAAACCGGTAAACCGCCGGTTCCGCGAAGCGGCGAAAAAGAGAAATCCCGAGGCGCTGCTGATTTCCTACTCGGAGGCCTGGATCGACCCGGACTTCCGGGAGAATTCCGGGATCGCGGAGGCGCAGCACAGCCAGCGCCCGGGCGCAGAGCACAGATGCAGCGGATGGGGGTGAAACCCCGTGGTCGGGTTTTTTTGGCGCGAAGTCGGTGGTTGGAGCGGGAAAAAGAGGTTCCCGACTTTGTTTTAAAGGCAAATCCGTATGGGGTGTACATATATACCCTGGGGGGGGAAAGGCTTTTAAGACAAAGGCCGTTACATGAACATCCTTTGTTTGACTAGCTGGATGGGGGCCTGGGTAGAATTTCAACTGTACATCGTCAGCAACAAGCCTTTTCCACACCAAGCTAGACTTGCGAAGGCCTCAACGTTAAAGCAGCACATGTCTGCATCATCAATGGAACAATCATGGTCTTCCCGAAACATCCATTCGGCAGGACCTTTTCAAACCCAGCAGCAAACAACGCCAGCCAGGACGAATGTGAGTGGTTTTTCGCCTGCCCAATTTCACGGCGTTTCACGGTCTTTCCCTGCAAAAAAAGGCGTTCACGCCAATTTTACGGTATTTTCACGCTTTTCCCTTGTCGATTTCCCATTGCTAAGCCCATGATCAATGTCTCTAGAAATCCCACAAAGTTGAAGACGTTGAGCATTGAACAGCTTCAACATGTCTACATGGTTTTCGCGAGGCTTTGGAAAGCGTATGTTTCAGCCACAAGCACTGCAAAGCCATGTGGCTACTGATGCGGCCAACACAAAATGGTCAACCCAATTAAAAGCGTCCAGCTTGCAAACAAACCACATTTCACGGCCGCTTCCTAAAGGCCTTTCTTTTTAAGGCCCCCGAACCCCAGGGTATATATATATACACACACTATATATATATATATATATACACCCACACTAGATATATATATATATATCTATCTATATATATATACACACACTATATATGTATATACACATAAGCCACTGAACGGCGACTTATTATATAACCAGTGTTGTCGACAGCTTTCCTGGCGTGCGACCCGTGGTCCTTTACTTGGATGTTCCTACCAAGTAGATTATAACCGTGGCCATATGTCAGCCAATTTTTTTGTTTTCTCCCTAGCAATGGAACCTCCATCCCAGGATCCCCGAGGTTATGTTAAGGCTCTTCCCAAATGGGTCTGGGTGGAAGCCTTTGTCCGAACCTTCAAAACATGACGTTGATGGACAAACTCCCCTTCCCGCCCCACACCTGTTCGGATTGGTGATTTGTCGTGTTCATGGGGGTTCCTCCATCCCAACTGGTGCGAAGTTTGTCGTTCTGTTCCTATCACCCAGACGGGTTTTTCTCCCAAGGCCGTGTTTCAGAGCCCAAACAAAGAAGGCTCTAAGAACCCAGGTTGGAGGGTTGGAGGGAGGGGGGGGCGAGCCTAGACTTTCCCGCACCCTCGGAGACTGGCAAACTAGGGACTTTCAACCATCACATCTCTTCTTATGGCAACCCATTCCGGGGGTCGAATGGGAAAAGCGGGGCTAGTTGAGAGCCCAGACACGCGAAACCGCGAAACGGGTTCCTGAAGCGGGTTCCTTTGGGAGCTTTAGTATCCCCCTCCCGCTTGCCCAAATCTGTTTTTGCTATGGTTCCTCAGCCAGGTTTCTTGCTCTAGGTGTTGCATGAGGGCTTTCCCTTGGTTACCTATCAAGTCGGATGCTGTGTGTTCAATAGGGGACCTTCCCCAAAAGAGATTAAACACATCGGGTGTTTTCCCTTTGGTTTCCCCTTCCGGTTCCGTTGCCGGGTGCCCTCAAAAACACACACACTCACAGTCGCCCATGGCAGGTTCTCAAGGTCGCGGTCCCAGAAAATCCAGAGTTTTGGCTTCCCTTTCAATTCCCCCCATGCTGGTGCGAGAGGGAAATAGAAATGGACCGAACTCAAAACAGATCTTAAAGGAAACCACAAGTTGGATGGTCTATCTCGGGGTCATTCCATTTCTCATTCCCTACTCATCGGCAAGCAGTGGATCCCTGGCAAGCCCTTATAGTAGGCAGCCAACTAGTGTCCTTTTTGTTGTTATATCGGGTGGCAAGGTTTTTGTTACCTAGAAGGCCAAGTAAATGGATCCACTGGGCCCACCAAAAGGGGGTTCACCATTTTGGGACAAACTGCCACACAGGCAAGCCCACAACTCCATGTAGGTATCTCATGTAGGTAGTATATACCAGTGTTTGACTGATTTGGAGGTGTTTTGTGCAACAAGATTGAGATGGAGTGTTTGGGGTTAGGTGCGTTTCTTGATTTTAGTACTCCTTCCTTCAGTTTTTGAAGAAACAACCCCTACTGTGGAGGGACAAAATCCTGCACCTAAAAAACCCTGGAATGATGATTCTCCTGTAAAGACCAACAACTTATGGTTTCAACCATGGATTCAAAGTGGTGCGAAATGGATTTCGTCCATCCATAGTATGAATAGAAAGATCCATCACCGGGCATTCGGGCAAACGGGACTTCAGGCTATGGCAGGCAGCCACGGGGGTGCTTTTCTCCTTGCTGATCTTCAGGATCAACAGGCGCCTGGGGCGCAACGCGTATGCCAATAGCCGTGATGCATAGGCGTCCTTTCTAGGTTAGCTTGAATAGAAATAGATGGTACTGGTTTAGATGGGTTTTATTCCATTTTAAATTTTCCATGGCCATCTATTTTCCAAGAAGCATACCTATGCCGTGATGTCATTGATTTGGTGTTGTAGGAATCAACGGAACCACCCTTTACAAGCCAAAAGGACACTAGCTTGTCACATAGGAGTAACTGGGATCTGGAATCCACTGGCAAAGCTTCTTCTTCCCTTTACAAACCACAAGGGGGATTGCTGGTTGCCTATAGTGGCTTGCCTGGGATCCACTCAAGAGCTTTTGTAGGCGTGGTTCAAGCTACCTGGACCCTCAAACTACCTATGAAACTGTGGATGGACAACATCCTGCACCACCTAAGAAGCCCCGAAATGATAAGACTCCCCTGTAGAAGCCAACAAACTATGGTTTCAACCATGGTTTCATTTCGTGGTGCGAAATGGATTTCGCAGCCATCCACAGTGGCTCTGAAAAACCCCTTGTCTTGGCAGGTCACTCGCAGGTCACTCATGCCCGGTAGGTGTGGCCTAAAGTAGGGACCCCTCTGAACTGGCGGGGGTCCCTCAGGCTGTCCCTCCCAAAAAAGACATGCAGATGGCTACCTGGAGTCTCCGGATCTGACCCTTTACACATGGGCCGGGGCAGTACAAAGAATTAAGGGGTTCTGACCCCAATTTTCTAGGGGTCATGGAGGCAGGTACGAATGATGACAAGAACAACCATATTAACAATAAAAATAATAATACCAAGAGATAACCTCTTAAATGTCGTTGTTGGACACATTCATCCGCGAATTTTGACATCCACCAAAGGGTTCAAAATTCAATACGATCCTTCATTTCCCTTCACTTCCCTCCACGTCTCTTGATTTCCACTCAGTTCCCTTTGTTTTACTTCATTTCCCTCATTGCCCCGCATCTCCATTCATTTCCCTTCATTGCTCTTGGTTTCCTTTTGGTTTGCCTTCAAATCCCACCAAAGCTTTCGGGTGCTCAGCAGTAGGGAATGTGGGCATGAACCTGGGGGTCCCCATAAAGGAAACCTGCTTTATCTCGAGGGTCATTCCAATTCTCATTCCCTGCTGAAAACCAGCAAGAAGAGATGGCCTTCCAACCGGGGAAAAAAAGACAGAGAAAACACGCAAAAATGGGACAAAAACAAAAAAAACAACGAGAGGGCCCCGAGAAGGACAAACAAAAAACACCGGAGATCGGAGATCGGAGCGAGCCGGCCGCCGGCCGCCGGCCGCTGGGATTTCTCCAGGGCCATGGCGCGCTTCTGGGAGGGCACGGGGCTCCTGCACCAGATGCGCGCCTCGGCTTCTGGTCTGGTCTCGACCCACCGACCCTCGAAAACGCGGGAAAAAAAAAGCGGGAAAAGAAAAAAAGCACGAGGCGGACCACCTGGAGTTTTTTTTTTTTTTGGTTTGACTGCCGGAAACAACGAGGCCCCTGGAAAATGTTGGGAGTCTCCTTCTTTCCCCGGGAAACAGGGGTCACAACCCCTTATTTTTTTGGGTAACGACCAAGCATTGGGGCAGAAGGGGACTCCAGGCACTCAACAAGTCTCTACCCAGTTGCCCAGTGGGTTGGTGCCCTTTTTTTCACTTGCTTTTGTGTTTAGGGTTCCGATTCCTGAAAAAGATTCTACCAACAACAAAGAACGGATGCCGATCCGTTTTTTCCCATGGGCACTGGGCATCTGAGTCTATGACACCTAGGAAAAGGGGTCAAAACCCTTTGACTTTGGGTAATGACCAACCATGTTTAGAGCGGCAGAAGGAGACTCCAGGGACCAGTCCGGGGTTTGTAAATCCTAGGCTTCCGTCGCAACCATGCTATATGCCAATCCAACAAGGGGTGTCTCCGTGGCCACAATTAGGACCTACCCTACAAGTGTCTTGAACATCTAAGTGGCTTCGCGTGCATCCACCAAACCGTAGATTGCCGCAAACTACCGAGTGCCAACTTGTTTCGCTCTGGCCATATTGAAGATATCCACCGTGCCGACCCAAAAGACCCATCTCCAGTCTTAGGATCTTTTCATAAGAGCTTCCGCTCAGTGGCTTGCCTGGAAGCACTAGGTAAGGGTACTGTGGATGGACGACATCCTGCCATGGTTGAAACCGTTTTTGGTTGGCATTTACAGGTGAATCACCACCCAGCGAATCCGCAAACCCACCTGAAAATACCCTTGACACCATCCGGAGGTTAGATGCCTACAATGGAGGCCTTTCTTCTTGAAAAGTAGGCAACCACTTGCGGAGCGCTGATCCTGGCTCTTGGTTTTGAGCCACATCTATTCCCTTGGGAGGGTAAGGATCTCCGAGGTTATTTCCACCAAGGGGGACTTCACCCCCAAATTTGGCAATAGCCAATTTCAAGGGTTTTCGAGGGTCCAGGGACTCTTTTTGGCGTTCGTTTGCGGGGAAAGCAACGTATTTGAGAGAGTGGTCAATATTGCGGGATGACACGATCACAAGCCCAAATTACCGTTAGGATTTGGGGCGTCATTGGAGACCATAAATAGTAACCTGGACCGTGAAACTGCTCATCAGAAACGAATTCACCAACCATAAGTTTGGGGCAAAACCCCAGCTTGAAGTTGACATTTTGAGTGTCCAGCATTGGGGAAGCCAAAAGGGAAACCCATAGGGCTGGGAATTTTCTAGATGCACCCAATGCAAGCTTGGGTAGCTTTTTGGGGTGTCCAAAAAAAAGACAAGCCAACCATACCTGGACCCCGAAGGAAATCGTTGAGCTAGGTCTCCCAGTAGTGCCCTTTCACCGTTTTTTGGGGGGAGGGTTCCCTATGAAAAATAGACTACGGAAAAAAAAAAAAAAAAAAAAAAAAAAAAAAAAAAAAACACGGGTACCCTTATTCTAACCTCTCAAGTCTGGAGGAAGTGAGGGTCCATCGGAGGCCCCTGACTTCGCGCGATCCAGTTCTCAGGCGGCGAGTGGTTCGACTCCGTGAGCTGCTGCGTCACTTTCAGCCGCGCAGGCGCGGAGGTTCAAGAGCTTTGACCCAACTTTGGTGCATTTTGCCAAGGGATGTTAGGACTTTAAAGCTTTGTGCCAACTAATGGGTTTTCCATTAAACCACTAAAAGTTAAACTTTTAGCAGTGGAGCAGAAAGCAACCGAGCCAAGCGATGTGTTGTTTTTCTTTGTTTTTGTTTAAGCCTTGGATTTGAGTACTCACGGAGTTGTTTAATTGGTTGATTGCTTGTTTGATTGATTGGTTGATTGGTTGATTGATTAATTGGTTGATGGTTCGTTTGTTTGATTGTTTGTTTAGATGTCGATTTGTGATTTTTTTGTGGATTTCTTCGGTCTTTCCATTTGCTGGTATGTGTCACTTGAAGCCAACGAGGGCCATGGGTGACCTCCCAAAGACCAACAACGACCCCAGTTTGTCCCTGACGACACAGCCAAATTTCCCCCTTTGTTGCCCAGTGGGTTGCTTCCTTTTTTCAACGTTTTTTTGTTGGTAAGGGTTTCCCTTTAAAGTCAACCACCCCAAAAAGGGTGCCGATTCTTTGTTGCCCATGGCCACTGGGCATCTTAGCCCCTAAAAACGGGGCATTGCAACCCAAAAGTATGGACTTGTTGAATTCCATTTTGTATGGGTAGTTTGAGGAAGGCCGACTTGTTTTTGTTTCGAGGACTCCGACTGAACCCAGGATCCCCTGGAACCTTTAGGCTTCCGAGCGTGGGGGTTCCCAGCTAACCCACTGAAAGTCAAGCTTTTAGCAGGAGATCTGCGAGGACAGCCATAGAGCTGCGGTTCTCCATGGGCTCGGGTTCCCCTCAAGGTCTTGGTCTGTGGTGGCAGGTGAACCTCTCCATTGGAGGCCCCTGGTCTTGGTCACCATGGTACGTCAACCAACTGCTTGGGTGTTAGCCACTTCTCTCCAGCCCTGCGCAATTTGAACCCTGCATTGGGGTGTTAGGACCTCCAGTAGGTTTTGGACCTGCCAAGGATGGCTCCCTGTGGATGGTGGCGAGTCATTGGCTTTGCCCCTAACAAACCATGGGAATGAAACCAGAACAACGTTTGTTGGTTTTTGCAGGGGAGTCAAATATCCACAGAAACCACGGTTGAAACCAGAACGTGTTACAGGGGAATCGAACATCGCTGCGTTTCTGAGGCGGTGCGAACTGGATTTCGAAACCATCCGCAGCAAGGTTTGGATGCCAAGTTTCTTTGCCAAAGCATCAGCTCGGTAGACGGGCGCCCGCACTCGGATTGCTCCAGGCATGAGAGCGAAGCGTGATGAGACCTTAGCCTTTCGCCACACGCCGCTTGGATGGCCTACGGGACCATACACATTGGTGGCGTCCTTTGATTTCCCTTCAAACCGCACCAAAAAGGGGACACTCCCAGGATGCTTTGGGAGGAGGAGGTTGCTTCCAAAGGGGTAGCTGGCAGCTTCTGAGTTAAACTAAGGGTGACCCAAGTTTGATATTTGCCCTACCTCCCATCTATTGAACTTGGTGGTTCCCAGTCGTCCGGTTTCTTAGGCTTTTTTAGTCGGTTCCGTGAGGGGTTTCCATTTATCACGAAAAGTTGAACTTTCGCAGGGGATCCGGCAAAATCTATACAGGAAACCACCTAATTGTTCCAATTTGACAATGCTGGGTGGCTTCCCCCTAAAGGTCGTTGCGAATGTAGGATGAAAAAGACAGATCTGTCGATTCAAGTGGGCTTGACAACCCAGGAATGTATCACAATCCTGGCGCTGTACTTAGCATGGATGATGGACACAAGCATCCTTGCTCCAGACAATGGTTTGGATGTGTTCCTTTTGTGTACTCTTTTCATATCCCACAGGGATAACGCCGCATCCAAACCGTTCTCTACACAAACGCCCCATTCTTTAGGGTCTCTTTTTTATTCAGCAAAGCGTGGTGATTGTTTCGCACTCCAATGAACTCCTCCTTTCTGATGTGGGAAATAATCGCATTCTGGGGTTCCTTCTGGTTTTGTCTCAACTCTCAGACAATTGATACGATATGGCCAGGGTGTTTCTGTCCACTTCCTTAAGGATGTTGGTTTCCTTGATTCCACTCAAAAGCCATACCCCGTGGATATTTGATCCGTTTAGTTTGAAAGGGTGGTTGCCTTTGTGGCCTGATATATAGGCACCTGGAGCCTTGAACTACCCGCAAAAGGTTCACCAACCATAATTTGAGTTGCAAAAATCCGATGTTTAAGTTAGAATATTGTGGGTCTAGGCAGCTGTTTGAGTGAGCATTCTGGCCAGTGCTTCCACCCCTCACTGCCCCAATTAGACGTAGACAAAGCGACCCTTTTTAAGACTGCCTACTCTGCCTGCCAAAAAGGTAACTGGAATCACTGGGGCAGTTTTTTGACTACCCCAAAAATCGACTTAAACCCAGGGGTTCCCCGTTTAGGGTCATGAACTACCTCTGGGTTTAAGTCTACCCTGTAATCCAAAAGTGGAAGCCGCTGCACCGGCTGGACCCTCAAAATGCTCTTCCAAATGGGATTGTTGCCCCAAACTTCTGGGAGCTTACGGGTCCTGTCCAGGCAAACACGCACGACCCAGTTGGTCAAAGGCTATGACCAAAACATCCGCCGTACGGAGTCCCACGGAGTACTCACTGCGGTACACGTCGGGGAATGCTTTGAATCGCCCAGATCCAAGGATCGTGCGCTTGATGAGCTTGTGCCACGGCAGCGCGCTCAAAGAGATCGGCGGAGTGGACGCCAACGACTGCGAAGCTCGGTGGCAAGTAGAGCCCTAAAACGCGCGCCTCGCCTTTTTTGGGCTGGGCGGTTCCAGCGAATCGCCTTTTTGTTTTTTTTAAGGGGGGGTTCTGGTTTGGTGAGTGGGTTTCCAAATTTAACCCACAACTTCAAATCTGTTCGCAGGCGATCAGGAAACGGCCAGCGCAGTTGAGAATATGAAGAATATCCCTGAGCCTAACCTTGGACTTTTGAGGTCCAAAGCCGCCCTAAACAAAACCTTCTGATGCTTCGGGGAATTTCGGGGATAAACATTCTAATCGAGTGGTTTGAGATTTTGCCACTCACTTCAAGCAGCCTACATTTCAGGGTTCTACCTTTTGACTACCCAAAGAGTTCAACCCAGTGGTTGATTTCCCTAAAAACAAAAACAATTCCCGGGTGAAAGAGTCTACCTTAGTCCAAAAGTTTATCCCCCTATGCTTCTCCATCCGGTAGGGCACCTTAGTCCAACAGTTTATCACCCTGGCCGCAGTCCATGCAGCTAGCCATCCGGTAGCCAAGGGCACACTTCAAACAAACCAAATGCCCGGGACCAAACGCCTGGGATCTCTCAGGCGGAAAAAGGCAAAAGCCAAAGACTGGAGATTGCGGTCCGACTGGGGCCAAGTGGCTTCGAATGGTCTCGACGCGGTTTTTGTTTTCCGTTTTTTTTTCGTTTTTTTTGTGTTTTTTTTTTCAAGAAACAAACTGGTTTCTCGGAGCCCATGAGGGCTCGAAGATGGCTTCTCCAGAGCCTGAGGGTAGGTTGAGCCAGACTTTTCGAGCGTTGGGTTGAGAAAGAGCTGATGCCTGCCACTCTTTTTTGGGGGGCAGCATCAGGTTCTTTCCATTATTCTCAGTCATCAGTTGTTTTTTCTCCACAAACCATTCAAGATCTCCAAGATGCTCTCGTTGTTTTTGTGTTTCCGCCGAAGGCTATATTTGCTGCTGGGATGGGTTAGAGCGTAGGGTTTCTTCCGGGGCATGGGATGCACCTGGGCTTTAGGAAAGATGGCATTTATTGGGGGAATGAACCGGTTTTGGGGATTCTCCCGAATACAGGAAACCATTTTTTTCGATGGTCATTCCAACTGACTCCCTGCCAATCGAATTAGCAAGACTAAGCACCAGTCTCCATGACCCCTAGAAAAAGGGCTCGTAAGCGTATTTGGGGTACTGACCCGGCCCATTTTTTCAGGGCTTTCTTGGGAGAGCTCCAGCAAGGCCCAGGGCTCGAAAACAACTAAACCATCAGGTCCCCCAGCTATTGGTGCCTTTTTTGGTTGGGAGGGTTCGGGACCCTAAATAAACTACAGAAAAAGGGGGAACAAAAAGCCCTGATTCTAACCTCTCCACTGCAGGATCTAGGCAAGAAGCCAATTGTCTTCAATATGTTTGGCCTGCAAGATACATCCTTGGGTATGAGTTGCGGAGTTGCGGGCCTCTGGTTGCCTTCGCTTTTGGGGGATTCTCCGGCTTTCCACGCAGGAAACCATCGACCCACAGGGGCTGGACAATCCGACGCTGCTCCACTTGCAGACTTGCTCTGGCCATGGCTTCAATCGGGTAGATGCTGGGCTGATCTCGGCGAGAGCACAAGATTTTGTCATATTGTGGATGAATAGAATCCTGCATCAAGTTGAAACCATGGGAAACCATTGTTTGTTGGCATTTTCATGCAGAATCTGGGTTTCTTAGGTGGTGCAGGACTTCGTCCATCCACAGTAAGGGGGCTTTCGGGACGGGGGACTATCACCTACTAAACCCTGCAAAGGAGGCCTTAACATGGTCGTTGTTGGGAAACATTTTACATTTTTGCTTATTGTGGTTTAGTGGGACATCCCCACTTAACAGCTAAAAATTATGTGTATATATATATATATATATTTCTCCCCTTCCAACGTCGAACAAGTTAAGCCGAGGGGTTGTTCGTTCGCCTCTCAACTTGGCTTATCCAGATGCCCCCTGACAATCCGTTGGTCTTGCATACCGCAGGGCTCGTCTACCTGGACCCTCAAACTTCCAACCTCGAAACGAGTCATTTCCCCATTTTTTGCGGCTGGTGAATTCCCATTGCAGGTACTTTGAGGGTCCAGGTACCTTTTTCTTTCAATCGCGTGTAATCTGGCAACAGATTTGGTCAACCGTCTAGCTGGGGTTCAGCGCTGGGGATCAGCACGGGGGTTCAGCACTGGGGTTCAGTGGGCCTCAATTCGTCGAGGCTCCGCCACCACAAGACAAAACAAGCTTAAGTTTGACTGGCCCGTTTCTTCCACACAAGGGCCTGCATCATGTGGTTTCGATCTCATGTCCACAAAAGCACAAACTATTTCACGCTATGTGTAGGGGGGTTTTCTGCTACTCGTGAAGACGAACAAGTCCAGTGGGATTCGCATCAACAGCAGTACTTTGTCATTTCCGACCCTGGGTGAGCATGAAAGCAACACCTCAGATGAGGCGGGAAGCAAACACCGACCCACCTCGCCTGAGCGAGTTCCGAGATGGACCGCTTCTGGCGGCCACCTGGGGTGGGCAAATCCATCCGAAGTTTCAGGGAAGATGGCTTTCGGGTCCAAGGCCACTAGCTAGCTGGATCGAGGGGTAGCTCCCTAGGCATCTAAAAACCCATTTCAGGTTCCTGGGCCCGAAATAACTACCCATAAACACGAATCGCAATGCACCAATTCCATAATGTTGACCTCACCCATTTTCAACTTGGAGTTTTCAGGGTCCGGTTTAAACCCCCTGTTTTGAGAAACAATCAATCAATGCGAGGAAGTGATGCTGCATCTCATCCAGTCGCTGATCACGCGCCTCGGTTTTGGTCGTTTTGTCGTTTTGTCGCGTTTTGCCTTCTAGGGTTGTGGGATCACTCGGGGTGTCTCCAACCACTTCTGTGATACAAGAGAATCCCGCTTATGAAGATTTTCTTTTTTGTCTTTGGGAAGCCCTTTCTGTATCACAGATTCGTGAAATCCATTCCCCACAGCCCTGCCTTCCTCCTAAAGTCAGAGACTTCTTTTGGATGACACGAACCCATCCATTCAGCTTCAGTCAGCGGCTCTCGGTGTTTCTCATGACGAAAATCTCCGGGGGAGCGCGTTTGGGAAGCCAATTTGTAGAGGTCCTTGATTTGACATATCTGGACCCGAAAGAAGTTCCAACTTAAGAATAAGTTATTGCAACGCACAATCATGGTTGGTGAATTCCTTTTCTGAGGGGTTCTGAGGGTCCACCTGGCCCTTTAAAAAATGGTTGGTCATTACCCAAAACAAAGGGGCTATGCCCTTCTTGTTCTAGGGGTCAGAAGAAGAGTCTAGGCAGGTATATTTTGAGGGATACCTTTGCTCTTGGTTGATTTGAAGTCGGTGACTTTGCGTTTGGTTTGATGCCATCTTTGTTGTATTGACATGTATTGACTTCCATTTGCTGAAATGAATATGTGTTTGGTTTTCCCCTGTTGGCTTTAAAGGGAATCTATCACTAGGGGAAATATTGTCAGTTTTTCCAGGGGACTGAAGCAAGTGGAGGTTGATGGGAAGTCTAAGGGTTGGTCTGGTACAGGGCAGCCCCAACCTTTGGTTGAGGTTGTCTCAAAGCCTTAATGGCCTCCCCAGAAAGATCCCTAGCAGTTGCGGTTCACCACCACTCCCCTCATCACATGGTTGTCGTTGGGAAACATTTTACACTTTTGCTTATTGTGGTTTAGTAGGAAATCTCCGCTTACCTGCTAAACTTTCATTTTTTGCTCCCCTTCCAACGTCAACCAAGGAATCACAATATGGTCATGCAATTTTAGAGAACCCCCTCCAACATGGGTGGACATGAATCCCCAGCTACATGAGGTTCACTAAAGGTCCTCTGTTAATGTCTACCTGGACCCTCAAACTACCCATCGATTCCAGATGATTTGGTTGCAATAGCATATGATTTTAGTAGGATTTTCGAGGGTCCAGGTAACCCAAAACAGATGGGCTTCCTTTGGGTGCCCCTTTTCTAAGTCTCCCTTTATTTGGGGTAATGACCCCATTTTTTAGGGTCATAAAGACTCCAAATATATATATATATATATATATATGTATATGTGACCGGCGTTACACCAACTCCGAAATCCTTTGGGTTGGATGTAGAAGTCCGAAAGCCGTCCAGGCAGAGCTGCGACGATGGTGTGATCTGCGTCCCGGCGCCCATCATCTCCCGAGTGTATCAGACGCTGTCACGAGGCTTCGTGAACCTCTTGAACGCGAAGAAGATCGCCGCTTGGCACCAGAAAATCGCTTAAACCACGTAAGCCACAATCAAAACCCGGGTAGATGCGGGTTAGCAAGGGACAATCCCAACCATAAATAGCTGCGGCCGCCTTCTTAATTCTTTATGTGGTTCTGGGTCGACCATTTTGATACCAGGTTTTGCTTATGACTCGCGTTAGGAAAGTAGGTGACACGACCAAGAGGATTGAAAAGTTGCTCGGAGGTTCAACCCACTGCAGGTAAGTAGGTTGTGACCAGAAAAGATGCGAACCTTCAACCCACGTCAGGCAAGTAGGTTGCGACCATGGTTGTCAGCCAAGTAACCCCACTTAAGTGATGCCCGAAATGGAATCGTATTGGTCATGTTAGGTGGCTCTTTTGGTTCAATAGCGTGAAGGGGAAGGGTACTCAGTAAGTGGTTAGTAAGCCAGGTTATGACCCACATAGGAGACGTATATCCATGGCAACAGGCTTACTAAGCACTTACTACGTACAATGCCCCTTTAAGCAGCTGGGTGCATAGTTGTGGGACAATTGTGGGTTCCACTTTTATGAATTCAAGAGAATGTGAGTTTCTCAAGTCGTTGACAAAGTGGGTTTTAGAACTCCTTCAAATGTATGCAGAACATGACCCTTAAGATACAAGACCCGAGAAAGAACACATGACCGCGTGGCAAATGGCAGGTAGCTTGCCACTTTCTGTGAGGGGTTTGTTTCTAAGGGTCATTCCCTCATTCCCTGCTGAGAACCAGCAAGTGGCTTGGATGATGCAGTGGACAGCTTGTTGGTTTTTGGTTTTTCGGTTCCCGCTTCGAAGCAGTCATGAACATGGAACTTACACTTCATGGTGTCACAGAAAATGGCTTGCAAGCCTGTGAGTGGCAATGGAATCGGCTGATCGAGTTCGACAATTCCTGTGCTCTACCGTGGTTTCGCTTTACCCAGAGTGCTCTTTCTGGGGAAGCTGCCATCCTCTTGTCGACATTCTGCACCATCACTTCGTAAGCCCATGTGAGTTGTTTGAGGGTGCAGGTCATATGCCAGTTACACCCGTTATATACCAGTTATACCAAGTGAAAGGCATTTTCATGTGGTTTGGTTGGGGGTGTTATCATCCACCAGCTACCAAAAGGTAATACCCAACCACTCCCCCATCTAATTAGCTTGCATAGTACATCTTGAGGACCTACCATGCGACCTTCTGAAACTGTTTGGTTGGGGGGTATGGCAAAAGGTCTGTCCGAAGAGCCACCAATACGGTTGCCATTCGACTGGTTGGACGTGTGGAGGTGGAGAGGTATGCCCGAGTGTTGCAACAGGGGTTGTTTAGTACCTGGAGTCTCCATGAGCCTCAAAAAATGGGGCCCTGACCCTTTCGTTTGAACAGTGACCCCATTTTCACAGTCATAGAGACTCCAGGTACATCTTTGCAAAGCCTCAACGGTTTTTTGGCGAGTTGAACCAATTGACACACGCCCTCATTGGCCTCTGCCAGACCTAGGCAGACACACGCTTTCCTTTCCCCTTTGCGCAGCTGATATCGCTATTGCCCCTCGGCGTCGGTAGGTTTTCCCCCCTTGAAAACCACCAAACAATTCTTTTGAGTGAGGGTCATTGAGACTGAAGGTGCCAACTCAACGAAAGACACGCCCCATTTCTGGGCTGTCCTCAGATCCCCTGCTAAACGTTTAACCTGTGGGTCAAATGGAAGCCTAACCACTAAACCCTAAAAACCTACCTGGGTCTCCCTTTGACCCTTCAACAATGGTGTCATGACCCCAAATTGTTTGACCAACCATTTTTGATTCGGGTCAGATTCGGAGACTCCAAGTAAAAACCTAAAGACCCTGCACGATTCGCTGGGGGGCTCTTCCGGAAATCAATTCCTGCCTTTGAGGGCCTTCCAGAGCTCCTCGAAACCGCGTCCGAATGCGCACGAAGAAACATCCCATGAGACCTTTGTAGACGGAACATCGGCCATGGGCGGATCACCTGGGCTTGGGTCGTAAAAAAAACGGCGCGCAGACCTTGGGATTGATCCAAGATTTTGGGCGTCGTTCCTTTTGCTTTTTTTTTTTTGGGGGGGGGGGAGGGGGAAACAAATTGGACATGTTTCTTCGAAACAAATTGGGAAATCCCAACACAAATTGGTTTCCGCGATTTCGACGGTTTTCCAAATTTGTTTTTCCTTCAAAAAAAGAGACAAGCCACGTATCCTATCTTAAGACACCCGCCCCCCCCTCCCCCCAGGGGATCAAGGATTTTTGTTGGGCGGGATGAACAGTTTGAAGCAGAATCTGAACACCCGGACCCGAAAGAGAGTCCAACTTAAACATGGGAGTTATTGCCCCACAAAAATTGGTGTGAATTCCCGAAATCCCTTTATGTATGGGTAGTGTTTATGACATGTGTATGCAGGGCTGGGCCAAGTAGTCAGCCAACAAGTGGATCAAACTCTGGTCAACCGAGGTTTTGCCATGCTGACTTCGAGTACTAACAATTTCACCAGAGTCACCATCTATGTCAGTTGCAAATAGCAAATCTTTGTGCGTTGTTTGGAGCTTGTTTCGAGAAAGCACTCATGACAAGATAATACGCTGCTCGACAGATTCATGCGAGGCTTTTCTTGGCCGTCATGGCCCGGACGTATTCACTCCAAAGTCATGTTGCCCTGCATGTTTGTGGATGACTCTCCGGAAAAGCATGGGACAAGTCTTCGCCACCATAGTTGGTGGTTCCAAGCATCCGATTCCTGAAAGTTTTTTGTTGGTTTAGTGAGTAAATTTCCATTGAACCCAGTAAACGCGTGCTGGAGTTTCCTAGCCATCCGGTTCCTTGTTTTGATTTGTGTTTTGTTCAGTTTTTTTGGTTTGGCCTTAGTGCTTGAGTTTCCATTGAATAAACACAAGTTACCGACTTTTGGCAGATCAGAAAACGGACAGGTCAGGTTGGTCAGGTTGTCTTTGCGGGGTAACCCGCTGGTTGACTGGGGCAGACATGAACCCCGAGCGCCTTGCGCCACTCAAAGGGAGCCTTTGTTTAAACAGACGTAAACCAGCGCTGAAAGAAGAACAACATGTTGTTTCCGTTTGCTTAAGAACATTTTCCCCGTTGGTTTTAAAGGGAATCTACCACTACTGGATGTAGTGTTTGTTTGTTTTTTTCAGGCGGCCCAAGCAAATGCAGGTTTTGGTTTCCTTGACTGGGGCTCTCCTCCAAAACATATTTTGTTGTTTTCAGGGTGGACCAAACATGAAACACAATCTGAACTCTGTATTTTCTGTATACCCCAGACCAGCGGCAGATTTGATTGGGAGGGGTTGATTGTTTGAAAAAAAATGGCCCACCGTGCCGGCTGCTAGGCTCTTCCTGAATATCGTGCTGACACCAGTTCTGATCACTAGCGTTTTCACCAAGCCTGTGTGGCTTCTCGGCGAGAGGGGTTGCGACCATAGGTGTCCTTTTTGGTTGTTTTGCTAGACAAATAGATGGCCCTGGTTTACCTGGTGGTTTAATCATCTACCAGGGCCATCTATTTCCCTAAATGAACCCCCATGGTTGCGACTAGCCCCAGACATATGGCTGTGGGTCAAAACCAATGGTACCATTTTGGGGTAGGTGCACCACCCATTTTAGTCTATTTTAGTGGGGATTGGGATGTTCACTGGCCGGGATTTTGACCCATGGCCATATATACGACCAAAAAGGAAAAGCCAACAGGGAGCCCTGCATACGGTCTCATAGGTAAAGCTCATGTTGAGCAAGGATTCATCCTGGGACGAAGTCGTTTGGGGCAAAAGGCCACAACCGCCAATCCATCCCAGGAGGAAGAAATCAGGCCTTTGCAATGGGGTGCTTTTCCAAAGACGGCATCAGGGCCCGTCACAAAAGGCGATCGACCTTTTGCCCAGGAGGGAAGAACAGCCCATGTCAATCTCAACTCGCCCAGTTCTTGGACAAGCCAGGGGTGCTTGTACATACCCCTTTTACATACCCCTTGGACAAATGCACCCAAAAGGCCTGTTGAAGTTCAAACCCCTCTCCCAAAACGGGTATAAAGCCCTTATAAGGTGGGTTGGGGCTTCCACGGAAGCCAAGGAACCGGTATGAACAAGAGCTATGTACTTCCACCCTTAGAGAGAGATTCTCCTGTTAAGGTAGCAGAAGGACCCGACCACGTTGCCCCTTCCAAGACTCTCCACCCGCGCCACTTTTTTAACCCTGACCCTTGGGTTTCTTTTGGCGCTGGTGCTGCTACGCCACCCAATGGTGCCCTTTACCCTTTTTTGGTTGGGAGGGTTCCCCTACTAAAATAGGCTACATAAAAAAGTTGGTACCCTTACTATACCCTCTCTACTGGAGGACCTAGACTGGGTCCCTTGCTGCTCTTGGGTTGTTTCCTTTCATTTGACCTCGCGAGGTTGCCCAAAGCGAATCGACCTGTTGACCTTTTGGTTTTCCAACTCTGGCCCATTTTCAGCAAAGGTGCCAAAGGATTCGCCTTTTCTTCCAGGTTCCTAAGGGGCAACGGAGTTTTTCATCACCTTCAACTTCTGGGTCCCCGGATGAAGGGAAAGTTTTGAGGGTCCAGGAACACTTTTGGTTTCTGGGTGGCTAAGGGCAACTGCCACTTGTGGCACCCATTTGGGCGGCTCGTCTTTCGTAGTTGAACCAAGCAAATGGCATCGGCTTTCCCTTTCGTTTCACTTTGAAACCACCCCAATAGAGGGGCGCTAGCCCTTCAACTCGGGAAGAATCGGTGGCAATTTATTTTGCCATCGATACCTCTCTCGTGTTGTCGTGTGTGTGTGTGTGTCTTTTTTGTGTTTTTGTTGTTTTTTTTATTATTTTTTTGTTTCAGGCGCTTTGTTCAAGGCACCCAGGAAAACCGGCATCCACGGGAGCCAACGTTAAACCGGGGGCTCCAAATCGCTGTGACACAAGTTCTTGGAAGGATGGGTGCGGCTGGTGCCATTCGTGTATCCGTGTGAGGTGCGTGGTCTTCTCCTTCCTGCCGGTCTTTGGAGCCTTGGCCGTATCCGATGTTTGGATGGGTTTGGAGATTTGACGCGGGTTTCTGTGGTAGGTTGGAACTGCGCGGTGCTTGGCATGTGTTCAGTTTCGTTTTCGTGTTGTTTGGTTCTGGAACTGGCATGTGTTCAGTGTTGTTTTTGTGTTTCTTTGTGTTCTGTTCATTTCTAGGCGGCTGCCAAAAGAACGGCAAAGCGTCTCACCATACTTCAAGTGCAAGGGCACCTCCAAACCGACTTCCCGACTTCACGAGGGCAGCTGATGGGCCTCACAAAAAAAATGGAGCGACTTGCGCGAGGCGCAAGTCACAAGATTGGGGCGGATTCCGGCCCTCGAAGTTTTTTAGATGGACCCTCAAAATAATGTTGACCCTGGATTAATAAACCCGTCCCACTAGGGGGGTGTTCCAACTCCAAAAGTGGTCTGAATCCAACCACTAAAAGGAATTGGACACCCCCCGATCAAAATCAACCAGGGGTTTATCAATCCGGGGTTAATATTTCCCTGAGCACTTTTTATGTAGGTAGTTTCAGGGTGCAGGTACATTGTTTGAGTCCCTTTTAGTACCAGGTTTTGAGCACGACTCATGCGAGAAATGTGAGCTGTTTGCAGCTGCCAGAGCAACCGAAGTATCAAGCTACGCATCAAAAATCGGAAATCACCCCGTAATGGTTGGGCAATTTCCCATGCTTAAGTGATAATTTTGAGGGTCCCTATTCATGAATATTTCGGGGACTGAAAGGGCTCTTTCAGGGCCACCTTCCTAGGCATGTCGTGCCTGAACTTCATCGGCGTAGAGCTGGAGAATCCCTTCGGGCAGGATGACAATGACCTGCCCCTGGATCATTTCCAGGATGAGATGAATAACTGCCCCAGCCTCAGTCGGACTGAGTTGTTTTGGCACCGGGACCCGAAAGAACAAGACCCAGAAACAAGTTGGAGAAATCACCCATTTCGTGGGTTTAGCATTGCAATGATTCCCATTAGAAGTTAGAAGTTTGGAGTGTTCCTCCTAGCACCTTTTGGTATTTGAAGAAGACACCCAAAGGATGCCGACCGGGAGTTGCTAATTTGAGCAACTCCCATTTGGAGTTTTTACCCCAATTCTGGCTACCTGGGCCCTCGAAATACCCTGACACATGGGTTATTGCCCCCAAAATGTATGGGTATTTTGAGGGTCCAGGTACATGTCTCAGCGTCATCAGCTCAGCTCTTAAAGATGCGGACGGTGAAATACCAAAGTTCGGGGACCCTACAACCAAAGACCCAATGGTGAAGGAGTGAAGGCTTTAAGCCTCAATACGGCCTGAGAGGGGGCGTCGTTTCGTGCCTGTATATGCGGCCTGCTTAGCAAGTGTTTTGTGGTTGGAACCTACCGGCAACGTAGCTAGGCCTGGGGACGTGTAAGGGGTTTCTGGACACCACTGCTGGGCCGAACATACAAGTACAGACCGTCTATCTTGCATCCAGATTTGGGTCCATGCTTTCTCGATTGACCAAAAAGTAGGATTTGGAGCCCCCCCAAAATGGGCTGGTTTTCCTTTTGGCTTGCCTTGAAAGCCGGCCCTAAAGATGGGACACGACCCTCAAACCCATTCAAAAGTTTGAATTCTCAATTTTGGGTTATGCCTGGAGTCTCCATGACCCTTCAAGACTGGGCTCATTACATAAAATTAAGGGGTTATGACCCCATTTTTTAAGGGTCATGGAGACTCCAGGTGCACTCACCACCCCTTTTTCGTTGGAATTTCTTTCGGGTCCAGGTACCAACTCCCAAAAAAGCGGACGTCGAGCGCTCAGGTCTCTTGATGCTCCTCCATGACAGTGCCGACCTCCTACCGGACGTGGACTCCACTCGCTGCATGGTGGATGTGGATGCCTCTCGGACAGATTCGAGAGTTTCGAGTCCAGACGTTTTAAGGGACATGCCTGGAGATACCCGGAGTTTTCTTCTGCCCTTTAAACAATAAGTGGCGCATTTTGCTTGGATGTTAGGACTTGGCAAGGTCCCCGAGCTAGGTGCCCGACCTCTCACCCCTTTTTTGGTTGAGAGGGTTCCCCCTACTAAAATCGACTACAGAACAAAGTTGGTACTCTTATTCTATCCTCTCAACTGGAGGACCTAGGACATGCCCGGAGATACCTGGAGTCTCCTTCTGCCCTTTCAAAATGGTTGCTCATGATCCAAGATTATCGAGTCTTTGCCCTTGGTCTTGGAGACTATGTGGAGGCGTCATCACTTGGGGAAAGCACCCAGCAGAATAGGAGGGGTTTAATCCGGGGTCATTTCAGCATGAACTCCATCCTGTACCAATTGGGACCCATTCCCGTAAGTGGCACAGTTCGCTTGGTGGTACCATGCTTTCTCCAAATAGAGGGTCTCCAAATAGAGTCATAGAGAAAGGATGCGCCGAGTGTTGCTTGGATTCGGATCGAACCTGGTAGAATCAATATCTCGTCTCCCAGCTAGGGCGAGGAAGTAAGCTTGGTCCTGTTTCGGGGATCAACTCGCCCGACGCGCCGTTGTGCCAAGGAGATTCGCAGCATCATGATGCCTCACCATGACCAGGAGAGCCGCCGCCTTTTGGATGGGGAGACCGGATTACACGAAAGGCGGGTGTTGGACCCTGAAACTACCTGGAGTCTCCATGACCCTTCAAAAACGGCATTACCTAAATTTGACTGGTTATGACATTTTGTGTAAGGGTCATGGAGACTCCAGGTACCCATTAAACAAACAATGTTGGCGCAATAACATGATTTTAACGGAATCTTGAGAGTCAAGCGTGTTATAGATATACCTTAGCTGGGTTCTTAACCTCGCAAACGGGTTTTTAAAAGGCCCAATTAGACGCCCATACGAGTAGTGGTTTGACGAGTGGACGTACGATTGGACGTACGAGTGGACGTACGAGTGGACGAGTAAACGTACGAGTGGACGTACGAGTGGACGAGTGGGTGTACGAGTAGACGTGCGAGTGGACGTACGAGTGGACGAGTAGGCGCGCGAGTGGACGTACGAGTGGACGAGTAGGCGTACCAGTGGAAAAACGAGTGGACGAGTAGGTGTACGAGTGCACGTGCGAGTGGACGTACGAGTGGACGAGCAGGCGTACGAGTGGATGTAGCAGATGTGCAAGTTGGCGAGGGGAGCTTATCAGTACAGTAAGGGTGCTGTATCAATCCGATAAAAGTGCCTATATATAATTAAGTTAGTCAATAAGTTGGAAAGGTTTAAGTTGTAAGTTTCAACAGTTTGACCATGTTCCGTGAAGTGATATCATCACCGAAGTACGCACGAGTGAACGTAGGTGACATTGTCTAGTGGAGCAAACAATGATTCAACGATTCTGGCCGTGGCAGTCATATGCGTCTTGTAACTGTCTCATGAGTAAAACCTGAGCACGTGAGGTAAAATAGATCCTAACAGTGCATTGATGCATCATGCCAAACCTTGCCTTCCAAACTCTAGGCAGTGGTAAATAGGCTTGTTTGTCCAGGAATCTTATTTCTGTGCAAGTGGACTTGTCCGGTGCCACACGTGCAGAAATAAGGCCGATGTTCAGACAAATACGTGCGTGTGGACTTGCGCCAGTCCACACGCACAGAAATAAGCCCGATGTTTGGAGAAAATATGCTGGCATTGATTTCAAAAACTCGACCTTATTTCTGCGTGTATGGAATCCCAGACCTGTGCGTACCAACTGGCGCACCGACTCGTACACCCACTTGTGCCCCCTCTCGTGCACTCGTACTTCCACTCGTACACTCGCTCGTCCACTCGTACACTTACTCGTCCACGCGTACGTCCACTCGCACGCCCGCCCGTGCACTCGTGCAGATTTTGACCCGTACAGTTGTAAGGCCGATTTTCGGGAAAAAGGCCCATTTCTTCGACATGTGGACTTGCGCAAGTCCACACGCACAGAAATAAGGGCGATTTCTGCAATAAATCGGCCTTATTTCTGCACATGTCCCGAAAATCGGCCTTATTTCTGTACGTGTGGACTTGCGCAAGTCCACACGTACAGAAATAAGGCCAAGATTTGGAACAAATACGGCTTATTTTCAATAGATCGGCCTTATTCTGTACGTGTCCCGAAAATCGGCCTTATTTCTGTACGTGTGGACTTGCGCAAGCCCACACGTACAGAAATAAGACAGATTTTCTGAAAAATCAGGCTTATTTTTTAGAAAATTAGCCTTATTTCTGTGCGTGTGCAATCCTATGCCTGTCGCGCACTCTCTCGTTCACTCGTACGTCCACTCTCGTGCACTCGCTCGTCCACTCGTACGTCCACTCGCCCGCTCGCCCGTACACTCGCACAGATTTTGACCCGTACGGTTTTAAGGCCGATTTTCGGGAAAATAAGCCTTATTTGTCCAAAATTCGCCCTTAAAACCGTACGGGTCAGAATCTGTGCGAGCGTACGGCGTGCGTGCGAGTGGACGTACGAGTGGACGAGCGAGTATACGAGTGGACGCGCGAGTGGATGAGTGAGTGTGCGAGTGGATGGCAGAGTGCGAGTGGGTGCACGAATGGGTGAAAATGTGGTTCTTGATGTTTCAATATACTCTAAAAAGCTGTGTTTTTTTTGTGGTGAGGTGTAACCCCCTCCTCCTACCTACATGGAAACTCATCAGCCAGTCAGTGATCCCTCAAATCGTTTTGAGAACATGCAATAATGGCAGTGATGACATGTGATAAACCACGATAAACGATTGAAATATGACAAACTAGCAAAAACTATGCTAAATTATGATAGATTATGACAAGCTACGATGATGAACTATGATACATCATGATAACTGATGATACGCTATGATGATGAACTAGGTTAGATTTTGAAAAATATCATGGACTATGCCAAATAATGATAAATGTTGATACACAAGGAAGGAAAAGCTATGCTGATGAATTATGGTAAGCTATGATCAACTATGATGAATTATGGAAAGCTACGAGGACGAACTATGTTGAACTATGATAAGCTCTGATAAGTTGTGATAAATGGATAAACTTTGTTAAGCCATGATGACCAACTGTGATGAACTATGATAAACTATGATAAGTATGATGATGAACTATGGTGAACTATGCTAAAATGATGAATCATGATAGGCTATGATGATGAGCTATGATTAACTATGATAAATTATGATAATTTGCGATAGTTTGAAAACTTTATGCTAAGCTATGACGATGACCTATGACAAATTATTATAACGTATAATAAGCTATGATAACGAACTTTGATGAACTATGATAACATGATAAATCGTGATACATCATGAAAAACTATGACAACATATGATGATGCTCTATGATGAACTATGATAGGCTACGATCAATTATGACAAGCTATGATGATGAGTTATGATGAATAATGATAAGTTATGACATGCTATAGTGATGAACTAAGGTATGATGATGCACTATTATCGGCTAGTATAAAGTATGAACACAATGCTAATTTATGATAAATTATGATGATTAGTTTCTTAGGATAAAGTATGATACGGTGTGACAATGAACTACGACAAACTATGCTGAACATGACCAAATATTAAAACAAATGATACATTACGCTTACTCGCACATCTAGTCGCCCGCCCGATTGTCCAGTCGTACGCCCGCTGGCGCGTCCGCTCGTCCACTCGTACGTCCACTCGCACGCCGACTCGCGCGTCCGCTCGTCCACTCGTACGCCTACTCGTCCACTCGTACGTCCACTCGCACGTCCACTCGTACACCCGCTCGTCCACTCGTACGTCCACTCGTACGTCCACTCGTACGCCTACTCGTGCGCCTACTCGTCCACTCGTACGTCCGCTACTCGCACGCCCACACGTACACTTTCAACAACATTCAGTTTACGATGTCTTGAATTCAGCTAAGTTATACCTGGTTTTATGCCTAATGGGTTGATATTCAAGAGCAGACATCTAAGCCTAAGCTACCAAAGCTTTTGTTTTGTTGGACCCTTCCCCTAAGGATCCCACGATTTGGGGCCTGGCCTTCTGTTTGGAGCCCCTCTTCGGCCTCTTCTGTGTAAGGAGGGATTCGGGTCCATAGGAAGAGTTGTCAATGGATAAACCCCCCATCTCTCCCAGGGGTTTAGCCGTTTTTTTCTGAAGAGACGAATGCCTGAAGAGGAAGGTACAGCTAGTTCCTTGTCCCCCTTCAACAGAATTCCAGGAGAATTATCAGGCGAATCTGCACTCTGAGAGCTGAATGAGTAGTTTCTCAAGTTTCGATCCCCCAAGTGGCACAGTTTGCCTTGGTGTGTTCATGCTTTCTCCAAGAGGGTCTCCAAATAGAGTAGAGAGCGGATACACCAAGTGTTCGGATCGGATCGAAGCTACCAACATCTCGTCTCCCGGCAAAAAAAGCGAGGAAGTAAGGGAAACATTCAAGCGCCTCTTTGTTTCATGGCGAGCTCCCCGTTGCAGGGGAGAAACGAGCTCGCTTCCGTGACATAACTCCTTTGCTTGGAGATCCACATCTGTCCATGGCTGATTGTGCAGGTCCATATATGAACAATATATGAACCCATGTCCATTTTGGACACTCTGCGGGCTGATTTCCGATAATTGAGCCATAACAAATTGTTAATTCGGCATACCACGGGTTCATACAGTGGATGGACGATACCTGCACCACCTAAGAAAACTCTGGAATGTTGATTCCCATGTAACTACCAAACCATGGTTTGAACCATGGTTTCATTTCGTGTTGCAGGATTGTGTGCGTCAACAGTATTTTCAGGTTTGGAATGGTTGTTGAATTTGCACATCTCAAGTTTCATGGGGGCTGGGGGGAGGGAGGGGAGGGGGAGGGAGCCCAAATAAGCCCTAAATAAGGCCTAAAGGCTTAATAAGGGCTTATTTGGGCTCCCTCCCCCCCCAGCCCGCATGAAAGTCTCATGGGTCTTTTCCACGCTGATGCCCAGACCTTGAACCTCACAGACTTGCGATCAGATCTGACCTTTTGGCCGAAGTCGGCGTCCTAAAAAAGAGTGGAGTTATCCAAAAGAAAAGGGTGGACCCACAAGTTAATAAGGGGTCCTTCAGGAGACTCCACGACTACTGGGGGACCTAGGTGGCAACTGGATGCACTGAGGCTCACTGAGGCTCAAGTGAAGCGGGTTCATTGGCTAGTTGCCAAAACAACACCAAGCCGAATCATGAAGGGCTGCCCTATATACTAAAATAGACTACAGACAAAAAGGTACCCTTTTTCTAACCTCTCAAGTCTGGAGGACCTAGCCACTGGTAATTGGATATTCTCACCAGGTTTTACGTCTATAATGGTACCTGGAAGCACTGGACATGGCAAAGGATGGAATCCCCGCAAAGGTCAGAAGGAGACCCCAGGTGGAATGACCCCAAGTTCAGAAGGAGACTCCAGGTTTACCTGGAGATTTCTGTTCTGACCCTTACAAAATAAGATGATTTCGCCCATTTCCCAAAATAAAGAAAATGGGTCATGACCCCATGTTACAAGGGTGAGAAGGGAATGAAAAGAAACCGGTGGCCGCTCTGCCGCGCTTTGGCGCTAGGAGGCAAGCCCATCCAAAGCCGCGCCGCCTGGTCGCGAAAATTTTGCGAAGTCGAGCTGTTGCTTGGATCTTCAGGGCTCCGGAAAGAATAAATTCATTTTGGCTGTTTGAAACATGTTTTTTTCCACCACAGTAAAGGGAAACCACCATTTACAAGGCACTGTTCAAGTTCATAATGTAAGGATCCCTGTTTTGGAACCGTTTGAACATGTGGCTTTTTTTCAACACCGAAAGAAAGTTGGAAACAACACCAGAAAACAAGTTGCAATGTTCAGGTGTATAATGTAAGGTTCCCTGTTCAACTTGGTAAGTGGGTTATCACCGATTCCTTTTGGGGGAAGGTTCCGATTCCTTTAAACTCAACCAACAAGAAAAGGTGCCCATCCTTTTTATCCCACGAAATCCACTGGGCATCTAGTGGGTTATCACCTCGGTTATGACCTTCCTGGAACCTCCAAAGGAATTACCCAAAATTCACCCAACCGTATATAGTTTTGGGGGCAGTCACCCACAAATAGAGGGGGGCAACGGGGGTCAACTCGCTCGCGGTGCTGGTGTCAGCAACTAGACCTTTGACACACGGACAAGCCGAATTCGGGTAGCTCTCTGATGGAAGAATTCCTGCACCACTTTCAATCCATGGTTGAATCCATTGTTAGTTGGTATTTACAGGGGATACATATTTGTTAAGCCTCTCAGTCAGAGAAACATTCGAATGTATACTATATCACGTACAACATTTGGCTCGGACGTCATCATCATCGCAGATGTCAGCGTGACTGAGCGTGATGCAGCGTTTGTTGGCCTGTGTTGGGCCGATAGTCGAACTGATTGTATGCCATTGTTGACATGCATGTGTGTCCAATCTATGGCATTTGACCGATAGATGTCAAAGATGCGTTTGTCAAATTTGTCCAACCCAATGTTGCTTCTCGGGCCTACGTCGCCGATGTGCGCAAATAGTGATTGCAAGAGTGTACCTGGGCCCTTAAACATTGGGTTTTGCCCGAACATTGCGGTGTGAATTCGCTTTCTTTTCATGAGTGTAGTGACCCAACAAATTGCCTGCTTGGGTTGTGGCCCAAAATTATGGGGCGAATTTCCTTTGTAGTTCGAGGGTCCAGGTTTTTGGTGATTCGCGGCAATCCATTTTGCTGGTTGGGGACGGCTGCCCTCCCTTTCAGGTGGAGGATCTTTGACATGTTTGGCGTGGAATCGGAGGCAAAATTGGACCTGTTTGCCCCGCCCCCGAAAAGTTCTCAGAAACCCTTTACTAAATCCCCTTGTACTGCTCTTTTACCGTTTCTTTTTTGGGGAAGCCTACTAAAACAGACTACAGAAAAAAATCATGCCCTTATTCTAACCTCTCTACTTTTCTTTTTTGGGGAACCCTACTAAAATAGACGGTCGAAAAAAGAATCGATGCCCTGGTTCTAACCTCTCTACTCGAGTTTTTTGGGCTGGGAGGGGCCGGGTGAGACGCCTTCGAGGTCAAACTCAGAGTTGACTTTGGCGGCAAGAGAAAGGGTCGTGGTTTATTTCTTTTCAACACAAGAGAACGGGGGGTTAACTATTAGGGCCGTTTTGTTTTTAATCCTTCGTTTTTAAAAGGACAAATGTGTTCAACACAAGAGAACGCGGGGCTGAGCTATTTTTGTTGGGATTAAGCGCTCCTGAAGTTTGGCCCCGAGTCGTTAGCGAAGGACAGCCACAGAAATTGGCCACTTAATTAGTTAATATCTTGGCGCTTCCCAGTTGTCCCCTTAGGTGTTTTGTTGTTTTTACTTAGTTTAGTGGTTGGATTTCCATTCAACCGACAAGTTGTCGACTCATGGCAGGGGATCCTAAAACGGACAGCCCAGAGAAGTTCCTGAGGCGAGCCACGTCCTGAAAACCCGGGAAGATGAAGGTTGGTAGTGGACACTCCCAACCATAAATAGCTGCGGATATCCGCCTTCTTAATTCTGTACGCATGGTTCTGGGTAGAAAGGTTTATTACCGGGTTTTGATTGTGACAGCCTGCAAGAGGAAAATGATCTTCCAGGCACCATCCCACAGGTGCTATCTTGGTGAAAGGAAGGGTACGTTCTTCAGGTCCCAGATAAGTTCCTCAGGGCGCCCAGCCATTTAGTGTTTAGTGGTAGTTTCCATTTAACCCACTAAACGTTAGTCACTTTTCGTGCCCAGTTACCCTCCCCCAGACTAACATGGAAGCTCCCAGGACCCCGAAATGGAGGACTTTGTTCCATTTACAGGATCACCTTCTGGGAGCTTCCGGCTGTTAGTCTCAGGGAGTGTATGTCAGGGAAACCAACTAGGGATACAGGGGGAACCAGGGATACGGGAGGATTCCCCCTAAATGCACCTTGACTAAGTTTGATATGGGAAATGGCGAGGGAATCCCCCCATATCCCCGCTCCCTCCGTATCCCCGCTTGTTCGTTTGTCCAAGTATGACTCAGGTGACCGGTTGGAGGTTCTTCTTGGCCCGATGCCTTCGCAGGCATCGCCCGGTTCGGAAAACTCTGGCGGGCGCTTCTCCCGCGGCGTCTCCGGTCGAGCGCCGGGCTTGGCTCGCCGCGCGACGTGTTTTCTTCGGGTTCGCGGGTAGGGGGATTTCAAGCCCAAACTAAGTAAAGAGGTATGCACCGTGGGAAACCAGGTTCTTCAAAATGTATTGCAAAAGTGTTGTTTTGCCAGACTTTACCGTAGCTTTTCGTGTTTTGGAGTTGCTTCATTTCCCCTTCCAACATTTGCAGGGGTCCAAGTCTGGGCTTTTCAAATGGCATTCTTGTTAGTCTCCTTAGTCTCCTTGTTGCTTGATTGACCCGCTCTCTATCATGTGTCCTGTTGGTTTCATGTGGCTGTGGCTCAAAAAATCGGTACCAACATGGAACCAAAACCTGCGGTTTGGCCCTGGGATCCTTTAATTTTGAGCCACCCATAGCATTCATTGGACCTTGCGGGCCCCGGCTCAGGATGCTTCGGGTTTGATTCATATCGCTGTTTCTCAGCAGGGCATGGGAATGACCCCTACAAAACCATCCCCTATGGTTCCTTTAAGGGAATCCCCAGGTTCATTCGCAAGCAAAAATTGAACTCGGTCATTTCTTGCTGAGCACCAGCAAGTAATTCATCCGGTTTCCTTTTGCCCCTGAAAAACCCACCTTTTGCCCAGGAAGGAACCACCTTGCGTTCGGCCGTTCCGGTCACTGCCTGCTTGAGGTAGGTTGATGCTGTAAATATTGCAAGTAAATCGATCACACTTTCGCGCAACACCATATGCTAAATCACGGCAAAATGCTCGGAGTTTCCTTGTTCCCTTACGTGCAACACGTGGGGCATCCACCGAAACTGGGGAGAAACTGGATGTGCGGCAAGTGACTAGATCCTCAGAGGCGCCAAAACCGATTCCGTTTAGCCATTGGAGTAGGTGGTTCGGCTTCCTGGTTTTGCTGGGGTGATAGTCAGGCCTACACAAACCTTTAGAAACATCTTGGTAGAGCAACAAACGCCCTGGCTCAGTTAGTGAGCTCCCGAAGTCTGTTGTTTCCCTCCATGTAGCCCACTTGGGCTGCTTCTTGCCTAGGGATACTAACCACGTGCTACTGGGGTGGTCGACTAGGTCGGGGTATGAGAATCCTGGGCTAACTCTCATCCAATGCCCAGTGATTCCATTGCCATTTACCTATATGGTAGGGAATAGCCTTCTTGGTCTTGGGAATGAGCTGTTTTAGGATTCCCTTGTAAAGGAAAGCAAATCGGATGGATGGTTTTTCTCCAAGTCATTCCATTTCTCCTTCCCGGCATCTCTCGCAGCCGCCAAGTTGTTTTTGGGCGCGCTACGTTGCAAAGTAACCTACTTAAAGGGGCATTGTACGTCAGGGTGGTTAGTAAGCCTGGTTACCCACAAACGTCATGGAGTTAAAAGTCTCCCTTCTGTGGGTTCTCTCACTTGGCTTTCCACCCGCGTCCCTAACAAATGGGTTTGAGACCTCGCTCCGAATGCCTTTGCCTCCCAACCAACCGCGCTGCCCACGTCCCGGCAGACCTGGTCGATCGCGTCGGATTGTCGGATCCGAGGCCAGAGGACGACTCCTCCCTGCAGGAAAAGGGCTCGGATGGTGGGCAGGTAACCATGGCTGTGATAATATATGTATATATACGTACATATATATATATATATACATATATATATATATATATACACACATACATATACATATATTTTTATATATGTATGTATCATCATAGCCATTGTTATATATATATATATACATAGCTGGAACCTCCTATGGGAACAACTCCTAGCTTTTAGACCTGGACCCTCATAAACTCGCCGTGCAGCACAGTGGGAGTTTACCAAAAGGATGGAGGAAACATACCTGGACCCTGAAAGTTCCGACTTGAAAATGGGTTGCCGCCCAAGATTATGGTTGGTGAATTCCCTTGTTTTGGGTAGCTTGAGGGTCCATGGTTTTGCGTGTATATATATATATATATATATGTGCACATATTTCTGCAACCCAACTGGGGTGGTTACCGGAGTAACTGAAACCCATCATTTAGCGGCTCCCGGTCTTTGGATATCAGTGCTGCCAGAGTAGGTGGAGAAGGAAGCCATCCATGATAAACCTATATGTTCAATGCACTTGGTAGGTTGTAACGACAGCCTGGCACCCTATATGGTCAGTTGTGCTCCGCTCAAACCCCGTGTATTTATACATATATATATATATATACATATATATATATATGTATACACATAGTTGCCGGAATGTGTGTTTGGTCATTTGCGTATACGACCCGTATGAAACTTGACTTTCCAACATCTTGAAGAAAAACACATGTACCTACAGCCTCAAAATTCCCCTAACAAATGGGTGATTGCTCGCTTGCGCAAAGGAATCTGCTTGAGCACCTTTGGGGATTCCGCGTGGCGGACAATTCGTGCGCTTGACTAAACACAATCGTCTGGAATGCCCAGCTGGGTCAAAGAAGGATCGCTGGAAGGCAAGTGCCCACTGCGCTGCTAGCCATGGTAGGCGAGCGAACCCGCTTTTGGTTTCCCTTCAAACCAGTCCAAGAAATAGTACTTCGAAAGCAAACACACACACACACAGAGACACACAAAAACATACGCACAGAGAGAGAGAGAGAGAGCGAGAGACACACACACACACACAGAGACACACACAGAGAGACACGGACACACACACACACACACACAGACACACAGACACACACACACACACATAGAGAGAGAGAGAGACACACAGGCACACACAGGCACACACAGAGAGACACACAGGCACACACAGAGAGACACAGAGACACAGAGACACAGAGACACAGAGACGAGACACAGACACACACAGAGAGATACACAGACACAGAGAGAGAGAGAGAGACACACACACACACAATGAGACACACACACACAGAGACACACAGACACAGACACAGACACAGACACAGACACAGACACAGACACAGACACAGACACAGACACACACACACACACTTAAAGAGACACACACAGAAAGAGACACACACACACACTTAAAGAGACACACACAGAAAGAGACACACAGAGACACACGCACACATTGACATGAGGTTTGCTCAATTATACAGTAGTTTGGGGCTCACTTGTGAGGGACATGCGGGAGCGAGCTCTAAATCTTCCAGGGCTCACGAGCCCGAATTTTCAAAGTTTGTCCACATGTCCTCTGCGGGAGGTACTGTTGACCGCGGCTAGTGGGTCAAAAAAGCGGAATCCTCGATGGTTGCCTTCCTTATGTGGGTTCTTGTGGTTGCCCAGAGTGAACAAAGGACAATCCATGTGGCATACTTGGATGTTCCACTGAGTATGTAGCTTACCATGTTTTTTCCCCACAATCTCAGTCACCCCAGTCGCAACAACTTGGTGGCCTACTTGCGTGGGTTGTTCACATCTATCCCATGGATTCCCCTGGATGCTTTCCAATCCCAGCCGACTTCAACGAGTGGCTGCCATATGCTGAAATGAATATTGTTGATGTTCTTTTATCTTGGTCTTCAAAGCGGCTCCATTTCACTACTTAACACACATGTTCTCCCTTTGTTTTCCCAGGGACCGGGAAAAAGCAAAAAAAATGGATTGGCGCCCAAAAGGCGTGGCCCGGAAAAAACAAAAGATAGGACACAAAAAACACAAACAAGCACACAGAAAAACCACAAACACAGATTCAATCCGCGGCGCTCATTTCCCTAACTCGGCTCTCTCTCTCTCTCTCTCTTTGCCTTTCCTGGGCGCCGAGGAGGGCGGCTTCCTGGGCGCGGTGCCACCTCTGCCCCGGATCCATGGCTCGGAGTCCGGCGCCAAGGACTGGAGACGAGCCGTTTTCGGCGAGCCGACGCCGAGTCCCCTCTCATGGTTGTCGTTGGGCAACATGTTCTACATTTTTTCTTATGGTGGTTTAGTGGCGGAAATCCAAAACCACTTACCTGCTGAAGTTTAATTTTTTGCTCCCCTTCTAACGTCAACCAAGAACTGGCCAAAAGAGGGGGACTTATCAGGAATGATTCGTCCCACAAACTGTTTTCGCTTTGTGAAAGGGAGAATTCAATTCAGAAGCTTCGTATTTTTTTTGGGGGGGGCAGGCAAGAATTCCCATTTCACAAGTTGGAATTTTGAGGGTCCAGGAAGGCTGAAGGGCCTCATTTGGTCGAAAGGCCAAGAAACGGCCCAGACCCCGAATCAACCATGCGGGGGGGGGGGGGTGTTTGGTGGGGTGTGGAAGGGTCCCTGAAAGTAGCCATCGGGGACGGGCATGGTAGCACGAAAGGGACATGTTCCATGCTCAATTGGGCGCTCATTTGTGTCGGAACCAGAATTGGCTCACAGGTAAGGGAAAACGGACATCTTAAATTTGAGAGCTGTGAGTGCCAGCATTAAATTAGGCTGGCATGGTTTTGTCGTCTCACGGGTCTTCTCCAAAACTTGTCTCTTCCCCCCAAATAATAAAGTGCCCCTCCCCCTTCCCCACCTTCCCCTCCGAATAACTATACCCCGGGGGTTAAAACAGGATTAAAACAATGTGGTTCACGTAACCACCATTATTTACCTAAGGATTGTCATCATCTAAATTGGGTGAACCTTTGCTTTAATGGGGGTTGAATCCCAGGGTATATTGCCTGGGCGGCACAATATATTTTATACATATGGTCCATGCCTGTGCCAAGTTCCTCAGGGCCCGCCTTTGGCGCAGATATCATTGACAGAAACGGGTGACCCATGGAAGAAGGGGGCCTTCACTTGCTCAATCAGCAACCCGATTTGGTAGTTCCGTTTGCTTAAGAATCTGTTGCTATTTTCTTTTTCTTTTTTGCCCCTGTTAGTCTTAATGGGGATCTATCACTACTGGACATAGGTTGTCATTTTTTCAAGTGGGCGATATTCGCAAATGGCGGGCATTTCCCAAGCAGTTTTGCTTGGTTTCAGCGCCGGGGGCACCCGAGGATACCTTCAAAACCCGGCTTACGTATCGCCGATAGAACCTGGACCCTCAAAAATCCAACTGAAAAATTGGGGTCATTGCCCGAAATTTGGTGAATCCCTGTTTGTATGGGTAGTTTAGGGTCCAGGTAGACCAAACGCTGAGTATTCAGCGGAGAATTGCTCCGGGGTATTTTTTTGCGTGGTCGTCTTTCTCTCGCTTGGGTTGTGATATTCGCATGGTTGCTCCCGTACGCACCCGAATTTCGAATAGTTGGATGGTTGCCACCCAGCAAACCACCACCCTCAGGAAAACGGGATACTCATACAAATTTAGGTGGAGGCCCCCGCAAGGATCGCCAAACTGGCGGATGGCATCTTAAGCTTCCCGTTCAAAAGCATCACCCTCCCTCACGAACGCGGCAACTGGTCAGATATCCACAGCCTCTTTTGTAGCGAGACCACACACCAATATGCGTTTTTTTGTTGGTTTCAAGGGAATCTATCACTACTGGACATATCATCACATTTTCTTTTTGGGCATTTATTTTATTTGTTTGTTATCCATCACTACAAAAAGTATCTTCACATTTCTTCCCGGGCACTTTTTTGTTTTTCTTGGTTTCCCTTTAAAAAGGCCACAGGCACCCACCCCCCGGACGGTTGTGACAGGACACATTGGCCGTGCCCTCCCCATCCGCGAATCTGGCGAACGCGCCGCGGGTGACGCGAATCGGCTCGGACCAGTCACTCAGCTTGAGCGCCAAGGCGAGTCCTTTGGGCCGTTTCCGCAGGGTTCTGTAGCTTCACTGTTCTTGGCATGTTTTTTTTGTTTTTTTTTTGATTCTGTTCGTTTTTACTGGGGGTCTGCAAAAAACAAAGTTTGTTGCTACCATACCAAGAGTAGAGATGGTAGGCCCTGAAATTCAATCGATTTTTATGAAACAAAACAAGCAATGACCCAAATTTGAACTCTGTCTGGCTGCGGTTTGGGTCCCAACTTAGGTAATGCAACACAGGAAAAAACAAGTGGATCCCAGTTACCCTTACAGTAGGCAACAGCCAATTTTCGTGGTTACCTACTATACAGATAAATGGATCCACTGGGTCATATATCTGTAAGCTTGTTACAATCATCCAACCCTCAAAGCATTGGCCCCCCAAGTAAAGGAGCCTCATGGTGAGCTCGCTGTACCCAGAATTTCGGTGATCTCGCGAGCCATGGCAAATGGATGTCACCCACACGAGCTCCCAAGACCCATTGACAAACAGGTTCTCCGAACATGGTGAAAAAAAAGGTGTAGAGCGCGTCTTTTGACCTCCGAAAAAAACCAGCAGAACCACCTAAACCCTCATTCCAACTCACGCATGGGCTCTTGCAACCCAACATGATGGACTTTGGTGAATCTTCCGACTTTCGGTATGGCTACTTTGAGGGTCATGGCTTCCTGTTTCCCTACGCCACCTCAACCCGAAGGTTCAAGTCATCATTAACACAGCGGGGGCTAATACATGGTTGTCGTTGGGAAACATTGGAAGCATTTTTGCTTATTGTGGTTTAGTGGTGGAAATCCAACCCCTTACCCGCTAAAACTTGAGAATGTTTGCTCCCCAAACCCAACGTCAACCAAGAATAACCGCCATGTTTGCCTATTCCCTTTGTGTACTTCGCTTTCAGTCTCACTCTCTGTCGATTGGGGAAAGATTTTCATCATCCAACTGCACTTTAGGGGCTAGGCTGGTTTGGTGCCCGTTGAGTTGGGCGAAGCAACCGTTTTTTTTTTTGGGGGGGGTTAGCAGATGCCTGGACCCTCAAAATACCCTTAAAGATGAGTTGTTTCCCAACATATGGGGTGACTTTATGTTTTATTGGTAGTGTGAGGTCCAGGTACATTCAGTCAAGCATTTAAGGTATGATTTCTCCTTCCACTTGTATGGTACCACGTGTTCGCTTAGCCAATTAAAGCATGGTTGTTCCCTAAAGGCTAAGCTGACCAATATGGGAAGCTAATGTTCAACCAGGTTCAACAATTTTGTCTAACCATTTTTACTGTGTAGTATCCATGAATTAAAAGAAAAACAAACAAACATAGAAACTCATCTTAGGAAACCAGCATAGGTTCTACCCTGTCCACTCGAAACAACAAAAACACAACAAGACATGGGAACTCTTACCTATCCACCATGTAACTGACATGTATATTGCTACCGTATTCCCCTCTAAACAAATGGAAACTCGTCAGTTGGTTCACCGTCTTTTTTTGGTTCCCATCACACGCCGATTCGCGACTCGCGCAGGAGAAGGCTGAGGTGAAGAGCATCGGCCTCAGAGCGTTTCGATTGTCGGGGAAACGGGCAAGTTCAACAGGGCTCGTTAAAAGATACATTTTGCAACCATTTGAAACATGGCTTTTTCAGCACCGAAACAATTGGAAACCACCATTTACAAGTTGCAATGTTCAGGTGTATAATGTCAGGATCCCTGTTCAATGGGGAAGCTCCAAGTTGGGTTACCACCTGGAGTCTCCATGACCCGAATCAAAAATGGGGTCACCCTTTTATTTTAGGGAATGTTCGATGCTCATTGGCTCACAGGTAAGGGAAAACGGACGTCTCAAATTGGAGAGCTGTGAGTGCCAGCATCAAATTAAGCTGGCATGGCTCTAGTGCTACCTTCCATTTCCATTCTTTCCAGGGATCCGGATCTTTCTAGAAAACCTCCGGAAACCCAGGCAAACGGATCCGATTTTTGAAACGAACGGTGGTTGAAAAGAATGGAGAATCAACCGTTAGAATGGTTTGTCGTCTCACGGGTCTTCTCCAAACCTCGTCTCTTCCCCCGAATAAAGTGCCCACCCTCCCCCTTCCCCCCACCTTCCCCTCCTAATAAAAATATTGCCTGGGGCCGCACAATATATTTTATAAATAGGGTGCATGTCTGTGCCAAGTTCCTCCACGCGGGCCGCCTGGCGCAGATATTCTCGACAAAAGGGGGTGACCCATGTAAGAAGGGGGCCTTCGCTTGCTGAATCAGGAACCCCTAAGGGTTTTGCGGAGGGGGAGCAAACGAGAAAGATTGGTATGGGAAGACTACGACCCGAAAAATGACTGGTGCAAGGATTAATGGAAACCATCTTCTGTTTGCTGAAATGAAGTTGTGTTTTTATTTTCCCCTGTTGGTTTCACCAGGATCTATGACTGCCTGGAGTCTCCGAATCTTGCCTGAATCAAACATGGGTCCATGACCCATTTCTGTATTTTGGGTAACGACCAACCATTTTTAAAGGGTCAGAAGGAGATTCCAGGTGCAAATGACGTCCACCAAAGTTTTGGGTCCCCCATTGAGATAGAAGTGACGACCTACTGTCTCCTGGGGTTCAACCCCCGTTAAAACAAAGGTTCGCCCAATTTAGATGATGACAATCCTTAGGTAAATGATGGTGGTTATATGACCCCCATTGTTTTAATGGTGGTTTGAACCGCAGGGGTCTCATGGTAAAGTGTCTACAAATGTCCCAATTTTGGTCATACAGTACCCCGCAACCACGTTTTTCGCAGGCGCCCGAAACATTTCCCCGTTATCCTGCAACCAGGGAGCCACTGGGCCACGGTAAGATGTTTCCCTTGAGGTCGTCGGGTTGAGTGTCAAAGTAGGTCAAGAAACTTGCTTCATGAGTAAGGGCATCTTCCATAGGGCTATACGTGTGATAAACGCGTGTTGCAAACCACCCTCCAAAAAAACCCTCCCTCAGTTAGGCCTGTCGGCCTTAGTTGATCGTCGTAAGGCTTATTCACCCTAACCCTTCGGGTGTGTGTGTTTGTTGGTTTTGGAAGGGTCCCTGGCAGTAGTAATCGGCAAGGACATAGCATCACAGGGGCAAATGTGCATCATGTGCGTCGGCCATTCCATGCAACGCCTTTGGAACCGGGAGTTTCTGACAGGTCCCAGACGTCGGACGCCTTTAATTGGGGAACTGGGAGTGCCAGTATTGAGTTCGGCTGGCATGGCTGTGTCACCTACCATTGCAGAGTTGGCCTACCATTCGGCTTTTAAGCTCTTTGGTGTTGCATCGTTTTCCCTCTCAACCAACAACTAGGTCCCCCAGTAGTGCCCTTTTACCCGTTTTGGGGGGGCTACTAAAATAGACTACAGAGAAAAGTTGGTACCCCTATTCTAACCTCAAATCTGGAGGAGCTACACCAAAAAAAACAACAAACATTATTTGCAGCAAGTCTACGACTCGTCTCCGTTTTACGAAGTCGTTTGCGCGAAGCTCTGGAGGCGAGGGAAAGCTGAAGACGGAAGAGCAGCTAAAGACCGAGGCAATGCTTCAAGGCCTTGAGAGGACTGAGCTGCCTGGGTCTACCTCGAGTCTCCTACTGACCCTCAAAAGGAGGATCTGAGGGGGATCTGAGGGCCTGGTTTATTTGGTTGCTCAACCAACCTCAGGTAAGCACGCTAGGTGCCCTTTCTTACCGTTTCTTTTTTGGGGGAGGGTTCCCCGACAAGAATAGACTACAGAAGAAAGTTGGTAGCCTTATTCTAACCTCTCAAATCTGGAGGATTTAGCTGGAGTCTCCTTCTGACCCCTTAAAGAATGGTTGGCAAGTGCCCCAAAATAAAGTGGTCGTGGACCCACTATTAACGGGTGAGAAGGAGACTTCAGGTACCTCTAGCTTCCAGCTGCTGAAGAAGGTGCTTGATTTCCCCTTCCTGATTTTGAAGGCAATTTGCCACCACAGGATGTTGTTTTTGTTGGTTTTCAGGGGCCGTATTCGCAAATGAAGGCTAAGGATGTTCTTTATTTGGCTGGCTGGGTTTATTGGACGCATAGAAACAACGCGAGGGAGGTGTCCAAGCTCGTACAGAGTACAGATGCTGAAAAATACCACCAATGTAAGCCGGTAAGGCAGTACCTGGGCCCTCCAATTCCGTTTTTGTTTGTTGCAATAACATGTTCAGATTGGAAGTTTGAGGGTCCAGGTACCGTGGTATATATATATATATGCCATATCATTCAGGGTAAAAGTTGGGATCAGAGTAGCTCACAATTCATATTGGGCTGAAATCTTGAAAATGGGAATTGTTGCAACCCGCAATCCTGGAATTGGAATTGGTGAATTCCAACTTTTATCATTAATTTTGAGGGTTCAGGTGGTTATTGGGTAACGGCTCTTGAGACTTTAACTTTTCGGTCGCAATCTGTTTGGGTTTTCCGTATTGAACCCACAGAAAGTTAAACACTTTTTGCATAGGGGTCGTTACAGCATCCAAGTATTGGTCTTAAATCTCCAGAGGGGTCATGACTCTTAAGGCACCGAAACGAGACCTAACGCGACTCGACCTTTTGGCAGTTTGACCTTGTTGTTTTCCCCCGGGGGTATTTTGAAAAGCCCAATGGTCCACGAACACCTCCTTTCTTAGTTCAGTTGTTGACATGCCCAAAGGGGTTCAAAGAGGCAGGTACTCAGGGTGGCAAATGAGAAAGACCACTGACCTGCAAGTCTGGCTGGTTCCGTGCCTCTGCGCGAGGCTTCTTCAGACTCCCACACCCCGAGAGCTCCAAACGCTCCTTCAGTTGGGCGGTTGAGGGATAGGATGGTGACTAGGTCCCCCAGTTTCTCTTTTTTTTTGGGGGGGGGGTTCCCCTACTAAAATAGACTACAGAAACAAAGGGGTATAGGTGATGGTTATCCACCCCATAAGGTGAGTTTTAGACAACCATGTTAAGGAATCCTAAGGGAACCAGGATCATGGCCCGCAGGAGGCGTAAAACACAGCGGACCGGTCAGGATCTTACCCAGACCCCGATCTGAGCGCAACGAAGGAACCCAGACCCCCCCCCCCCCCCAAAAAAAGACCCTCAAAAAAGACTGACAGGACATAGGCGTCAAGCGGGGCTTGTCCGGCCACAGGCCTCCCAGGCTTCATGGAGAGTAGGGTTCCCGGACTAGGTCCACTAGGTTCAACCTAAATCGCCCAGTGGATCCATTCACCAGGTTTGGTAGCAAACCAAGTGCTCGCGCCATATCAAAACCCTACCTACTAAGGCTTGCCACTGGGATCCACTGATGGCCATGACCCTTAAAGAATGGGCCGGGTGGTTTCCCAATGTAAAGAAATGGCGGTGGTGGTCAAAGCCGTTTTGGTACCATTTTGGGGTAGGTGCACCACCCATTGTAGTCTATTTTAGTGGGGATTGGGATGTTCACTGGGGGTACGGGATTTCGACCCATGGCCATAGAAAGGGTCTCTCCGGCGACTCACCATGCTGTAAGCCGGCAAAATGCGCCCGCCGCGAGGATGGTGGGCAACCTCCAGAGCATCAAAACCGCGGTGGAAGAGCAAGCCAAGAAGGCCGAACCAAACCGGAAGCCTTCTGTCCTATGGATGAAACTCATTTCAACCACGAAACGAAAATATGGTTGAATCATTGTCTGTTGGCATTTTTTGCCGGGCACTTCAACAAAAATCGCCGAGTTGTCAACAATCATACGCCCGTCGGAACCCATTCCCTGTACCATGTTTGGGATTTTCGCTTGTTTGCACTTGTTTGCACTTGTTTACACTTGTTTGCGCCAAGTTGCGCTCGTTTTGCACTTTCTGGCGCATGTTTTGTTGATGACTCTTCCCAAACTCGCCCCTGTGAAAGAATATATGAAACTACCGAGCTTGATTTCTGCTCGAATCCGAAAATAATGCTCGAAAGCAACTGTGGAGGAAAAAAAAGACGCTACAACGTGTCAATTTGTGTATCGAACCAGGAGGCATATCTTTTTGCTACGATGGCTCCAGGACCAGCTGGACACCTGGATGTGCGACCAACGTCAGGCAAGCAGGTTGCACCCATGGTTACAATAGGACGGCAACTGCGCTTAGTTGGCTTTTTCGTTGCCTTTTGTCCGGTGGAATTACGACCTACCTGAGCGCTAAGTTGTTGCCTGAAAAGGATCGAGTCATTGCGATCCAACACGGACATCAAGTGAACTGGGATCCAAATTTCGTTGGACCTGGGATCCATGTACATGGGGTCCATGTTTTTGTTGGACATGGGGTCCATTTCGTTGGAACTGGGATCCATGTTTTTTGGGAAGTGAACTGGGATCCATGTCGTGGGTGTTGCCACGTGTCTTGCGGCTCGTGTCTCGCGGGTGCGCCGGAGACGGCGCGGCAGGTCACGGAGAGTAGCCAAGCCATGACGGAGTTCTGCGTGCACCTGGCGCCTCGGCCGAAACTACCCCAAAGGGAGGGAACGAAGAACAAAACCTAGCCTCCCCCAGCAATTAGTGCCCTAACTCTCACCGTTTCTTTTTTGGTGGATGGGTTCCCCAAAATATCAGGGCAAAACGGATGTGGTCACCACTGAGGGGGGGGCAGGCCATGACCATTCGCACAGGTTCGCAAATCTGTTGAGGGTTCGACTCAAAGTTCGCAATGCCTGGCCGGGTTCGCAAACCCGAAATGGAATTCGCAAACCTTCGCAAACTGAATTGGGCAATCCAAAGGTTCGCAAACCCAGTCCAGGGTTCGTGCGAGGGCGGCGCCGGCCCGGCGCAGCCCTGGCCAGGTCCTGCCAGAGGCGGCGCCGGCCCGGCGCAGCCCTGGCCAGGTCCTGCCAGAGGCGGCGCCGGCTCGGCGCAGCCCTGGCAGCCTAGCTAAGCCCCCCTGCGTTCGCGCGTGACTTTGACAGTTCGCAATCCCCGCCATGTTCGCAGATGAGAAGCGGGTTCGCAAACGTTCGCTTAGGTACTTTGGGTTCGCGTAGGTTCGCTAAGATTTTTGCCTGCCCCCCCCAACTGGTGACCACATCTGTTTTGCCCTTAAAATACGAAAATGAACCAGACTACATTAAAATTGAGGTGACAAAAACCAAACCTAGGTCCCCCAGCAATTGGTGCCCTTGCACCGTTTCCTTTTTGGGGGGAGGGTTCCCCAAAATACTAAAATTACATAGACTGCAGAAAAAAGGAAGTTGGTACCCTTATATTCTAGCTTCTCTACTGGAGGACCGCCCAACATAAAGGGGTCATGGACCCATTGTTACAGAGTCAGAAGGAGACTCCAGGTGCTTCTTATGGTTTTCTTGAAGGGACCTTTCGAAAATTCCCATTCGAGAATTCCAATTCGGGTGGTTTGAAACCGGCAGGGAATGAGAAATCCAATGGGACCCCGCGAGAAAAGCCTCCATCCTATGGCTCCTTTCAGGGAATCCCCTATCGCGGTTCATTCACACCCGGAAACTCAATCCCCTATCCATGGTTGTCGTTGGGAAACATTGGAAGCATTTTTGCTTATTGTGGTTTAGTGGTTGAAATCCAACCACTTACCTGCTAAAATTTAAATGTTTGCTCCCCTTCCAACGTCAACCAAGGTCGCGCCAGCAATCATTTCAGGGGTGGAAGTATTGTACGAACTTCTCAAACCTAAGAAACCATGTCCAGAAAATTATCCATGAAGTTAGATCTCAGAGCGATGAATTCAATGTTGCAGGTAGCGGGACGACTTTCGACTGAAAGTGGCGAAGGGTGGCCTACTATAGTGATATGGTCAGGCCCCCGTGAGCAATAGTATATAGCGGGGTCTACCGGGCCAGTTTCTGGACTTTTGTTTTGTGGGAGGGGAAGACTGTTTTTTCGTGTGGATAAAGTTCAGACCTGTTTGAGCCAAAGCACTCAGGAAGTGGGTACCTGGACCCTCAAACTACCCATTAAACAAGTTGGAATTCACCAACCATCAATTTTGCCTTGCAATGACCCATGTTCAAGTTAGTATTTTGAGTTCCAGGTACATGTCTTTTGAAGATCAGTTTGTCGTTCGTGCACCGAGTTACCTTGTTGATTGGCGTCTCAATCCGTTTTTCGAGTCCGCTCTAAACATGAAATCTACCAAACACTCTTGGGCTATCCACGGACCACAATGAGTGGGTCCTCCAAAGGGTTGCAAAGGACGCTTTCTTCTGATTGATTGTCAAAGTATCGCTGCGAAGGAACTGGGCCCCTCGATCACTTACTGATTTACTTGGCGGCGTGGCGACCAACAGTTCATGGCAGTCATTCCTATGATCCAATGTCTGAATCAAGGAATCCCGTCACTTGAGTTCATGTCTCACAAGCCCGGATTTCACAGCTGCCCAGCGACCTGGTAGACAAAGAAACCCCAAGCCTTGGGGGGGAGTGGCGTATGGGGAGCGGCGATTTTTCGAGGGTACCCTTGGGGTGAAGGAACGCCGAAAGGAGAACCACCTTTTTGGGGGGTCCCCCAATTTTGACGCGCGCCCCTGTAGTTCATGGCTTTCGAAAAATGAGCGGTGTTCCTTGGGTTTGCTTTGAATCAACCCTAAAAGGGGGTAATGCTGGCCCGCTTTTGTAAATGGTTCTTCTGTATATAGTTGCTTTCCTCATTCAGAATCCTGGGATTGTTTTGGGGTCCCTTATTCCAGATAGTTTACTGTTTACCCCCATCCCCCACCAAAAAAAAAACATGAACACATGCGCAAGCAATTCTAAAAGTGGCAATGCTGACCCAGCCCGGTCCTCCATCCAGACCCTCCCAAGCCAACCCAAACCCCCCCAAAGAGGATCCAATGACTGTTGAGGGTGGGGGGGGCAGTCAGATTAGAGCAGGTCTCGCATGTCTGTCCAATGACGCACCCAGAGAAAAGGCCCCGATGGGACCCAGGGTAAGTAATTTGTTTGCTGCACACCAGCCCTCCATTAAAGCGGTCAGGACCTTCATTGGGAGGGACCTTAGTAGAAAGTCTCCATGACCCTTAGAAAATGGGGTCATGACCCCTGAAATTTGGGTAGTGACGGCGGTTTGTTCCTTTTGCCCAGCCTCAGTTTTTCCAGTGGCGCTCTGTCCGCTTCAGGATAGCATGCTGCATTCCAACCACAAGCCCGGCGAACGTGCAGCGAGCCGAGCTCCGGTCGTTTTCGGGACCCACCGAAATAGCAGAAACCAAATGAGGATGGGGCGCGTGTTGTTGGGAAGGTACCTGCGAAAGAGCTACCCATAAGAAAGGGAATTCACCACCAGAAAATTGCGGGTGCAACAAAACATGTTTAAGTTGTGTTGTTTATTGTCCAGGCAATTATCCTCTTTGGGGTTCCAATGGAACACCAAAGAAGGAAAAACAGATAAACGCGTTTTCCCAGTTATGTCTTCACCCCGGATTTGGACTGTGCGGCGGGCTGGGGGTTGCTGTTGGGGATAGCATTTAGTTTGTTAGAATTCTTCATGTGGGCGGCCTGTTGAGGTTCATTTCCTCCCCTAAACAGTAAGAATTTATTGGGGGATGGTCCCAAACCCGAATATGCGGGGCTGGAATTGCCCCTTGTTTCGAGGCTTTGTTTGTGGGAGGGCTGTCCCTTTGTGTTAGCCTTCAATTTTTTTGGGGGGTTCTGTTTAAACAATCATGTGGGTTTGCCTGTTTTTAAGAAACCCGGCAAGATGGGTGGCGGCTTTCCTTGTAGTTTCCCTTTAAACCCACCAGAAACCGGGTACCATCAAAAACGCAGACACCCATTCGGAGGACAAGTTGGAGAATGTGACTCTGCAGAAACCCTTGCAGGACACAAGTGGGGACTGGGTCACTGGGTCAGCTTCGGAAGAGGGAAACTCAATGTCCAAATTGCCCCAAGTAACCCTTTCCAAAATAACAATAAAACAATACTAAGAGGGATAATGACCGAAAAGATCGGTTCTTTGCCCCCTTCCATCCTCAAAGGGTACCAAGGGACCCGGGAGAAAGTGTCGTTCCAAAAGCAGCCCCTATGGCCACAAGTAGCATGTCTCTGAAAGACCCCCCCCCCAAAAAAAAAAAAAAAAAAACAAGAAGGAAGAAGAAGCAACATATTCTGCAGTTGGTTTTTTTTAAACAACAAAACCCCCGGGTCACTGAAGAACGGGAGGCGGGGTGGGTGCAACTTGTGCAACTTCCGGCGAAAACTCGAGCTGAGGTTCGGCCTTCTGTGCGTCGGAAGAACTGGGAATGCTCCATGATGAGATGCATGTGAGGCCGGATTGGTTGGTCAACCGCACCGCAGGGGCCCAGTGGGCTGAGTGGTGTTTTGAGTGAGCGGGGGGCTTGAGTTGAAGGTCAACTTCGGGCCCAAAGTTGTTCCCCTGGACTGGAGGGGCTTTCCTTTAGAAAGCTTAGGCCTTGTATCAGGGTTTTGTAGTGAGCTTGTGGATTTCCTTCCGGTGAGTGCCCGATTGCCCAACCTCCTGTGAGGCGTGCCTTTTTTGGTCATCAGCGACAGCTATGGGGTCTTGGGTAAGTCTGGGGCTGTTGATGAGTTTCCATCGGTTGTCTCCCTGTCCTTCAGCGGGAAACCTTCAAAATGTACTGCCCTAGGCATCATTGGACCCTTCATTGCAGGAATGAAGGGGTCCAGACCTCCCAAACCGCACGTTTCAGGTCCAAGGCCCAAATGCTTGGGGCAACCAACAAAAGTAACAAAAGGATGTGGCAGACAAACAGACAGACGCACGCGCGCACACACACACACACAAACAGGCGCGCACGCACGCCCGCACGCACGCACGCACCCACGCACCCACGCACCCATGCACCCACGCGCCCACGCACCCACGCACCACCCACGCACCCACGCACGCACGCACGCACACACGCACGCACCCACGCACCCATGCACCCACGCGCCCACGCACCCACGCACCACCCACGCACCCACGCACGCACGCACGCACGCACGCACGAACGCACGAACGCACGCACCCACGCACCCACGCACCCATGCACCCACGCGCCCACGCACCACCCACGCACCCACGCAGGCACGCACACACGCACGCACGCACACACGCATGAACGCACGCACCCACGCACCCACGCACCCATGCACCCACGCGCCCACGCACCCACGCACCACCCACGCACCCACGCACGCACGCACACACGCACGCACGCACACACGCACGAACGCACGCACCCACGCACCCACGCACCCATGCACCCACGCGCCCACGCACCCACGCACCACCCACGCACCCACGCACGCACGCACACACGCACGCACGCACCCACACAAACACACGCACACAAACACGTATACATGCCTACTCAATCCCCCGAGACGTCGATGTTTGTCTTGCAGGTTGCGAAGCGCAGCTGCCTTTCCATCCGTTCCATGCGAAGAGCTTACCGCAGGGCTGAGCCCGAGCTTGGCTTTGGAAGCCAGAGGTCAAATCCATTGTCCCAAACCCGGGGGTCAAATCTGCCATTGGGGCGGAACACCAGGCCATTTTCAGGTCGCCATCTGGCGGAGACCTAGTCCCCAATCAATGGCTGGCTTTCGTTCGGGCGTTGGGCAAGTCCTCAAAAAAAATCCAATCATTTCCGGTTATGGCACGGCCAAATGCTGGCGAAGATGTGCAGGCTCCCTTCTAATTAGTAATCTGGCATCTCCAAAGTGTCCGCAAAGTTTACATAGGGTAGACCAAATATGAAACAGAGTCCAAACAACTCCTTTTTGTGGACGACTTTGTGAAGCGAGTGGAGCAACTTTATGGCACCGCAAATTCAGTCGCAGGTTGAAGCAAGCCATGGACCAACCTCCCATGGCGACCGGCACTTGGTAGGATTGCTGGCTTATTTTTTGGTAAAACCTCCCTGGGGTTCAAGCCACCATGAAAACGATGGTTGGGTTCCTGGAAACGCCATTGTTCTTTGGTGCATTTTGCCAAGGGCTGTTAGGACTGAACAACTTTTTGATCCAACTCATGGGTTTTCCGTATTAAACCACTAGAAGTTAGTCACTTCTAGCAGGGCTTCGCAGATTCCGCCACCGAGTGTTTACCGTTCAGGATGGTCATCCAGATTGGGTCAACTGGCCCTTGTAATGGGGGTTGAACCCTGGGGTCCATCTTTGGTGCTCAAAAAAAGCGTGGCAGAAAGGGCGAAAACAAACCAAGGGATGTGGGGTGCAACAACACCATGGTTCAAGATAGGTCTGGGTGAATTATAACAACTTCACACGACCTCACCCTAAATGGTGGTTTATGTGGGGAGTGGCCCCCCAACCACCTTATTTCAGGTTGGTGAAATATTATAATTCACCTAGATAGGTGTTTTGCGGGCCCACTTGAGCCACAATCAAAACCGGGTAGATGAATTAAGGGATATAGTCCCGCTGCCTTCGCCGCTGTTGAAATGATTTACATGTTTTTTTGCGGATCGACCATTTTAATACCGTGTTTTGATTATGACTCACCTGGATTTCTCTATAATTCCTTCCTAAAGCTTTCTGCGGATTTGGGATGCGATGGGACCTTCGTCTGCTCCGAAAAGGTCCAACCAGCTAGCAGCTAGCTGACCTACTCCCGCGAGGGTCCCAAGACATTATAATTTGAGGCGTTCTGGGTGAGGCCGTGCATCTTGGGATCCTAGGGTCGAGCGTTTTTGCTTCTCCAATCCTCCTAGCTTTCAGCTGGGGAAAGAGAGAGTCCGCTGGAAGAAACAAGAAGCAGAGCCCGAGGGGGCCTCTGGGCTCGCACGCGCGAATCAGCGGCGAATTGCCCTCGTCTCACCAAGCTATCCCACACAAGACCAATGCCAACGCGGGATTTCGTTCATGCACGGCAAGGGGCTTTGTCGACTGTTCGTGGATCAAAAAACAGGACTGAGCTACACAAGCTACACAATGGATGACTGCAAGCTCACCATCCTTGCCCCACAGAATTGGTCTGGTCGAGTGTGGGTAGTAGGAATACCTTGGTCTTCCTTTGGTACCCAAAAACTGAAAACCATGATGTCCTTCTTTGAGGATATTGCTTTGTGCAAGTTTTGACGATCAGGTGAAAGCCTATTTAAGGGTCCTTGGATGACCGCTCCATTTAGCAAGTGACTACAAATAACTCTCCTGCTTGGATATAAACCTAGGCTATTTGGTTGGACCTTTGGGCTTTGGCTGGGAAACATGGTTGTTGTTGGGAAACAAGGGAAGCATTTTTGCTTATTGTGGTTTAGTGGTTGAACTCCAATTCCACTGAACTGCTTTTGTTTTTTTGCTTCCTAAATCTAACGTCAACCAAGGTTTGGCAAATAGTGGATTTTCCATGAAACTCACAAGCGAAAGCTTTTTGGCAGAGACAGCAACCAAGTAATCGATCGCCTAAATGGGGCGGTCTGGACGATCAAGGAATGATCTTCAGGATGTCTCTTCATCCGGCCGCTCTCGCGCATCGCGCTCGGAGAGCGCGATGTCCATGGGGATAGGATGTGCAGTTCCGCAAAGAGACACAAAACGGCACTCAGTGCAGTGGATTCCACCTGAATGCATCTAGCCGCTTGTGCGGCTCGACTAAAAAATGGACCCCCCAAAAAATGAACGCTGCCCTTCTCGGCCACTCGCGTTTGGGTTCGGCTCTTTTTCCCTTTTGGTGGCCCCAAAAACGGGCCCCAAAAGATCCCTTGAGTCACTGTCCTTTGAGCCTCCGGGCAGCTTGGAACGCACTTTGGCTGAATGGCCACCGATCCCGGCGGTCGACCCTGAAAAAATGTGGCTCCTGCGGAGCCGGGTTGGATGATCGCACGTGGTGAATACTCCCAGTTCGTGAAATCCCCTAAGTGGCATTGGGGGACAACTCCCGAAGGGGTACCTGGACCCTCAACATTCCCTTTAGAAGTGGGTTACTGCAACCCAAAATTATGGTTGGTCAAATCATGCAAAATTCCTTCTTTTCTGGGTATTTTGAGGTTCCAGGTCGGGTAAATCCCATATTGGTTTTTCCCATGGCGACTTGGCCTTCAATGTTAAGGTGGCCTGAGTTCCCCCCTTCTTGTTTCTACATCGACAGACTATGATGTTAAGCATCTTCACAAACAATTCCACGTGCTTTGGTGCACCGAGTTTTTTTCTTTTTAGACAAAGAGAACCAGGTGATCCGCGCGACTTTCCGATGATTTCGGAAGAAGCGTTATCCCTTTTGAAACATCACCTTCTCAAGTTCCTGTGGGAAGTCGTTGTCAGATGCTTAACACGCCCTTTTTGAGGCCCACGGTCAACATGGGTTCATTGATCCAAGAGTCCACATGGGCCCGTGTCGATGCCGACTCAAAGGCTCGCAAACGTTGAGGGTTAGGGTCGGTTGGAGCCTCCTCTGTGAGTCCAGCGCTTGGCAAAAGAGGGGAGACGGGGCCATGGAAATTGCCTGGAGTGTCCATGACCCTTTACCAATGGTCCATGACCCTTTTGCAGGGCTACTGAAAAGATACATGTTGCGCACTTGAAACATGGCGTTTTCCACCAAAATAAGGAGAAGCCACCATTTACAAGTTGCAATGTTCAGGTGTATAAGGATCCCATTTTTTAAGGGTCCAGGTAGTCCGATCCCAGCCTGGCAAAACGACTCGTTTCGCCAACCAGGGCCTTGGACCCATTGCCAACTCCCACAGTTGGGAGAAAAAACTCTTTGCCATGCACTGCAAGAGCCAGTTTTCAACTTGGGACGGCCACAGATTTTCCAGTTCTGGGAGGTGCCCGACATCTGGAGTTTTAAAATCCTACTTAAAAATGGGCATTGCAACCCCGATGGTTGGTGAATTCCCCGGGGTTTGATGGGTAGTTGCTTTTTGGTTAGTAAACTTCTCGTTAGCCATATTTGCCTAAAGTGTTTGCTCCAATTGTTACGAGATCGAACTCACACAAACGCGTAGTCCGAATTCTCACGAGTGCTTTAGAGGCAGTAACAAACATGAACGATGGGATCCGCATGATTTTCCGATTTGTCCATGTTTTTTGAGTTAGAATTTGAGGGTCCGACCCTCTTCTTTGCACTTAGCATCCACTTTCGAGAAAACGGTTTGGATGCGCCTTTTGCGTATTCCCCCTGTTCTTCGTGTTGGTCTTTGAATATCCTCTAGGGGTAGAGCCACCAACGCCGCATCCAAACCGTTTCCTAGACACTCGTTTGTCTCTTCTTTCTTTTTTTTCTTCCCCGCATGGTTTCTCTTTTCGGAGCCGAGCCCTGCGCCGAGGAATCACCACAGCAG